TCTTCCCAAAATAAAAATTCTAATCACCTGAAAATCACCTGAGTTCTAGTAGGGACTGAACTCTACGCAATCCTGAAGAATAGAGAATTTTATTTCAATTTTTAAGTAGTAGCACCACCACACGAATGCTATCAGGCAATTGAAATTTGTTAAAAAATATATAAAAAATTTATTTCTTTCAAAAATAAAAATTCTAATCATCTGAAAATCACCTGAGTTCTAGTAGGGACTGAACTCTACGCAATCCTGAAGAATAGAGAATTTTATTTCAATTTTTAAGTAGTAGCACCACCACCCGAATGCTATCAGACAATTGAAATTTGTTTAAAATGAAAATAAAAATTTATTTCTTCCAAAAATAAAAATTCTAATCACCTGAAAATCACCTGAGTTCTAGTAGGGACTGAGCCCTACGCAATCCTTAAGAATAGAGAATTTTATTTCAATTTTTAAGTAGTAGCACCACCACCCGAATGCTATCAGACAATTGAAATTTGTTTAAAAAAAAATAAAAATTTATTTCTTTCAAAAATAAAAATTCTAATCATCTGAAAATCACCTGAGTTCTAGTAGGGACTGAACTCTACGCAATCCTGAAGAATAGAAAATTTTATTTCAATTTTTAAGTAGTAGCACCACCACCCGAATGCTATCAGACAATTGAAATTTGTTTAAAATGAAAATAAAAATTTATTTCTTCCAAAAATTAAAATTCTAATCACCTGAAAATCACCTGAGTTCTAGTAGGGACTGAGCCCTACGCAATCCTGAAGAATAGAGAATTTTATTTCAATTTTTAAGTAGTAGAACCACCACCCGAATGCTATCAGACAATTGAAATTTGTTAAAAAATATATAAAAAATTTATTTCTTTCAAAAATAAAAATTCTAATCATCTGAAAATCACCTGAGTTCTAGTAGGGACTGAGCCCTACGCAATCCTGAAGAATAGAGAATTTTATTTCAATTTTTAAGTAGTAGCACCACCACCCGAATGCTATCAGACAATTGAAATTTGTTTAAAAATATATAAGAAATTTATTTCTTCCAAAAATAAAATTTCTAATCATCTGAAAATCACCTGAGTTCTAGCAGTAACTGAGCCCTACGCAATCCTGAAGAATAGAAAATTTTATTTCAATTTTTAAGTAGTAGCACCACCACCCGAATGCTATCAGACAATTGAAATTTTTTTAAAATGAAAATAAATATTTATTTCTTCCAAAAATAAAAATTCTAATCACCTGAAAATCACCTGAGTTCTAGCTCGGACTGAGCCCTACGCAATCCTGAAGAATAGAGAATTTTATTTCAATTTTTAAGTAGTAGCACCACCACCCGAATGCTATCAGACAATTGAAATTTGTTTAAAAATATATAAGAAATTTATTTCTTCCAAAAATAAAATTTCTAATCATCTGAAAATCACCTGAGTTCTAGTAGGGACTGAGCCCTACGCAATCCTCAAGAATAGAGAATTTTATTTCAATTTTTAAGTAGTAGCACCACCACCCGAATGCTATCAGACAATTGAAATTTGTTTAAAATGAAAATAAAAATTTATTTCTTCCAAAAATAAAAATTCTAATCACCTGAAAATCACCTGAGTTCTAGTAGGGACTGAGCCCTACGCAATCCTTAAGAATAGAGAATTTTATTTTAATTTTTAAGTAGTAGCACCACCACCCGAATGCTATCAGACAATTGAAATTTGTTTAAAATGAAAATAAAAATTTATTTCTTCCAAAAATAAAATTTCTAATCATCTGAAAATCACCTGAGTTCTAGTAGGGACTGAGCCCCACGCAATCCTCAAGAATAGAGAATTTTATTTCAATTTTTAAGTAGTAGCACCACCACCCGAATGCTATCAGACAATTGAAATTTGTTTAAAAATATATAAGAAATTTATTTCTTCCAAAAATAAAAATTCTAATCACCTGAAAATCACCTGAGTTCTAGTAGGGACTGAGCCCTACGCAATCCTGAAGAATAGAGAATTTTATTTCAATTTTTAAGTAGTAGCACCACCACCCGAATGCTATCAGGCAATTGAAATTTGTTAAAAAATATATAAAAAATTTATTTCTTTCAAAAATAAAAATTCTAATCATCTGAAAATCACCTGAGTTCTAGTAGGGACTGAACTCTACGCAATCCTGAAGAATAGAGAATTTTATTTCAATTTTTAAGTAGTAGCACCACCACCCGAATGCTATCAGACAATTGAAATTTTTTTTAAATGAAAATAAAAATTTATTTCTTCCAAAAATAAAAATTCTAATCACCTGAAAGTCACCCGAGTTCTAGTAGGGACTGAGCCCTACGCAATCCTGAAGAATAGAGAATTTTATTTCAATTTTTAAGTAGTAGCACCACCACCCGAATGCTATCAGACAATTGAAATTTTGTAAAAACGAAAATGAAAATTTATTTTCTCTAATTCGAATAATTTTTTATCAGTTAAAAATCACACGTGTTGTATCCAAGATGTTACTGAACAACATTCTGGTGGATAGAAAATTTTATTGTAACTTTAAGTAGTAGCAGTTGCACCCGTATTCAATCAGTCAATCAGAGTTTGTGGAAGAAGGTTGTTTAAATTTATTTTTTCTTATGTCTGATAATTCTATGGGGCTGATAATCATTTAAATTGCTATAATGTTGTAAAATTTTAATTGAATCAAACAACTGTTTTGTTAATTATACGGCATTACATTTATTTAGTTAAATCATTCAAAACTTTTTTGTTGCAACGGAAATCTGCTTGCTTTACACTAATTATTTTGTGACTGTTGTAAAATTCAACACTGTAAAAAATATGTCTTTTTTATCCTGATTTCGACTAAAACAACTTGTATTAGTCTTGTAATATTACTGACTAAATTTCTCATTTTGAAATAGATTTTTGTCTAATTTTTATTTTAAGCTCAAAAATGAGTTGAATTCAAGAAAAAAGCACGTTTAAGCCATAAGTATACTTTAAGACTTTGTTTTTACAGTGTATAGAATTTCTTCTTTTTGACTGAGTTTGAACGTTCAAAACTTTATACAGAGATGAATAAAATACATTCACCCAAAATGAATACAAAAACTAATATAAATTGAATCTATTTAAAATAGAAAGAAAACTTCTTTTCACAAAGTGCACTTAGAAAACAGCAAAAAAGCCAGAATCTTTTATTGCCCAGCTGTAATTCAACATTTTGAAAAAAAAAATATCGCGTGTATGCTTCAGATAGCGGAAAATACTGTGGGAAAATATTTCTTCATGGATAAATGCACCTGTAAAAGATGCGGATCTGACAAATACTTAAGAGGGTATTTTCTCATTTTCACACATATTCGGTTCGAGAATCAAATAAATAGCGAGACTCTATATATAGTACATACATAGCATATATACATAGTCTATATCGACAATATCTGTACATATAGATATAGAGTAGTATTAGAAGAAAAGTGTGTATATATATCATACAATACAAAAATGATTTTTTCCTTCATAAAAGAAAGTGATGCTCGATCGAGACGAGTGCTCAAGAAAGCACAACAAAGCTGAAGAAGGTTATATGAAAGAGAAACCTTTTTTTTTTCTTTCGTTTTTTTTTGGAAAAAAGATCACTAGTATCATTCTAATCATTGAAGGGCAAACTTGGATCTTGGGGGTGCTTGAACACAGCATCGAAAGCGTTTAAAAGAGTCGTGAGAAAGCGAAATTCCTTCAAAGATTCCAATTTCACCCTCATTGCAAAAGTTCACACTGAATGCCCAAGACTGTAGACAATAATCTTCCGAAGCTTTATAAAGCAATTCGATGAAGGCCTCTCTCAATATTCACGTCTGACACTTTTGTTTTACTTTTTACCATTCACATCATAATGAGAAAGTACTTCTTCTTTTAAAAAAGAAAATTCATATTTTCCCCTAACAAATCATACAACTATTTTCAATTTAAAAACAATCGATATTCAATATTTATAGTCACTATTCGATTCCTTTTCTTATATAATGAACAATCAAAATGTCCGACCGGATTAATAACCATCATTATTCTTATTCTTATTGTATTTATTATTCTTTTATGAACGAGTTAACAAATATATAATGCCCTAATAATAATAATTATAATTTTATATTTACTATTTTCACCTCGATGCAATTTTACTTCGGAATATCATATAAAATATAATTATAAATAATTTATTAAGTAACGTAATAATTAATTTTGAAATTGTCCTAATTAATTAATTAAAGATAAATTTAATTTTTATCGACATTTTTAAGTGAAGGGTAAAATTTGGAAGATTTTTGTACTATTAACAACAAAGCAGTGTATGTGAGTAAAGTGAAATTTTCAAAACTATTCCTCATACACTGTTTACCAGATACCATGAAGATAACATAATTCAATAGTCCAAGAAACTAACACGAAATTCAATTCGAATGGAATGTTCTTGAACATAAATTCATTTTATCCTATATGTTATATTATGTTAAACTAGAAGCCGATTGGATTTAAATCAAACTTACAAACTAGTATACAAGGATTTTATACCCAATAAATAAATACAGTGAAAAATAAATAATAAAACTAAATAAATAAATAAGAGCTTACTATAAATAACAGATTTATAAAAAAATTTTATTTTCGAGGAATGGAAGCAAAAAAGAATAGTATGCGAAGGTCTTCCAAACGAATGAATGAGAGGGTCAATATTTATTTTCTGAACCAAAAAAAAAACATGAACGTAAAACACGAAAAATAATTCAACTGTTTTTTGACTTGTTTCTCTTTTTAATTCCCCAACATCAAATATTGGTTTATGAAGAACTTGTTCGATTGAATGTTTATTTATACTAATATTATTATTTGTATTTCTATTTTTAACATTGTCAATAAATTACTGTTATCGTTAAAATAATAATGAACAGAAAAATAGGAGATATTCTTCTCGATATTTATTAAACTCGATATTTCTCTTTCGTAATTGTTTCAGATATTTGGTTTCATTATGAATGATTCGTGGTCACCAGAAGAAGGAGGTCCTGATATATGGTGGCCACCTGTGTACAACACTACTCACTGGTTAATTAATAATGATTCTTATGATGATCAAGGTAAATTTTCAAAATTATTTTTGTAATATGTATAATAATTTTTGTAAACGAATTTTTTTATAGCATTAATATTTATATTTTTGTGATTTATGTCAATATTTGTATCAGTATTTTCATGGGCTCTATTCACTTCATTCCGTTTGTGAGAGAATTTTCACGCCGTCTAGGCGGCAATTTAATGAACTCTACTGGCGCGAAATTCAAAAAAGGAAAAATTTAATTAATAATTAATTTACGGACCAATTGCTGACAAAAATATAACCAGAGAACATTTTACTTAAAACTATAAATTAAAATTTTTCATAATTATAAAACATGAAGATATCGATCACTCCGAGTCTTCGACTCGAAGTTATCAATTTCTTCATGTTTTATAATAATAATTTAAAAATGGCCCAGTGATAAAATCATTATTTTATATTATAAGAATATTGTACTTCAAATTTATTTTCATCATTTTAATTAAATTATTATTTTCCAGAATTTTAAACTAAAATTCTTCTTTAAGTCAATTATTTTTAATAATTTTCAAAAAAGTTTTTTGACTATTTTCAAATTCATTTGTTTACAATATTCAATTTTACGAAATTCAAATTATTCGTAAATTGTTCAATTAAATATATATATTAAATAATATTTTAATATATTTTTATTAGAAAATTCTACTAGAATTCAATTATTTAAATACAAAAATAAATAACTTATTGAATAATTGAAGGTTTCTTAAAATTGAATTTTCATAAAGAATTTTTTATCAACAAATTTTTAAATAATTGAATTCTTTTGACGAATTTTAATAAAAATTTTAAGAATAATTACATTTTTCGAGAAATTTGATTAAAATTGTATTAAAAATAATTGAAATTCTGCGATGAGTTTTATTATTTATGAAAATAATTGAATTCCTAAAAAGAATTTTAGTATGTTTCAACAATATTTAATTTTTACGAAGAATGTTATTACTCTTGAAAATAATTAAATTTATGCATTTCATTTATAATTTGTAACTTTTCCAAAATAAAATTTTTTTTTGTGTTTTTAAATAAAGTTCTTCTATAAATGCATTAATTTTAATAATTTTTGAAAAAGTTCTTTGAGAATTTTCAAATTCATTAATTCCGCAGAATTGTTTGTTAAAAATATGAAAAATTTTCAGATTTTCAAAGATTTTAATTTGAAACCTTTTCAAAATTCAATTATTTCTAAAAATTTCAAGCACGAATGATTAACTAATATTTAATTATTATCTAAAATTTATTTGAATATGTACAATTTTTGAAAATAATTAAATGTTTGCGTAGAATTTTATCAACATTTTTTTTAAATAATTTAATTCTTTTGCAAATTTTTTATTGAAATAGTAGATACTGAAAATCATTGAATTGAGGAAATTTTTTGAAAATAATTAAAACTTTGCCAAGAATTTAAAAAAAATTTTGAAAATAATTGAAATTTTGCCAAGAATTTAAAAATTTTTTTGAAAATAATTGTAATTTTGCCAAGAATTATTTTAAAATTTTCGAAAATAATTTAATTTCGGAGAAGTATTTTATTTTTTCTAAAAATAATTAAAATTTTGAGGAGAATTTTAAAAAAATTTTTGAAAATAATTGAATTTTGAAGAAGAATTTTATTATTTCTAAGAATAATTGAAATTTTGCCAGGAATTTTTAAAAATTCTTGAACTAAGAAAAAACTAAAAAATTCTCTGCTAAGAATTTTTTTACTTTTAAAAATAATTGAATTTCTGCAATTATTTGTAATTTTTCTAAAATTCTCGAAATTATATATCGTTTACAATTTACGAAATTCTCGTTCTTTTTCTATTAAATTACGGACTTTACGGACCTTTTTCTCAAAAAAAACTGACTTTGACGGACATGAAGCAAATTTACGGACCTTTACGGAATTTACGAACCTAATTCGAGCCCTGGAAAAACAAAAAAAACAATTTTTAATCTAAGAAGAAAATTAAAAATCCTTTTCACAAAATTTGTGTAATACTTTTCCTTTTACTCCCCTACACCCACACTTCAAAGTATATGCAAAAATAAAATATATAAACATGTGGAAAATATAGAAATGTAAAGAGAAACATAAAGAGAAATCTACAGAAAGAAAGTACCCATACTTTTGAAATTTTTAAAGTAAAAATTGGTAAAGGATTATTTATAGAAAAAAGAAGAAGAAAAAAATGTCCTCTTGTATAGGATTATATTGCGTGTGAAATAGAATATAAAAGAAGTACAAGAAAAATCAATTATACTTCTTTTGATAAAGGAGGGGGGCAATGCGTACACAATCTAGTGAAATGTATTCTTTACAGAAAATTCTGTTTCCACTGAGCTAAGCTTAAGCCTTTGGGTTGGTCGTATAAGCCCGACCGTATCACCTACTTCTTGAGGTCGAGATGATATAAAAGGGTATTTTCTAAAACGAATCCCTTTCTAAATCGGATCGTCCGTTCAAGAGATCTTGTTTTTATGTTGTGTAAAATTCCCGCGCATCCTTTTTCTGACCTTTCTACATCGGTTGTTTGCTTTAAAATACGCATCAAATATAAACTGTCCAGTTTTTTTTTCTTTTTCTATCGTATCAAAAGGGGACAATGATACTATCTCACAAAATATAAAAATTCTTTTCGTCTTCTTTCGCCTTCTCTTACATTCCAAACAGAAAAATTATTCCAAACAAAAAAATTGTTTCAAACAAAAAAACTATTCCTAACAAAAAAATTATTCCAAACAAAAAAATATACGAATAATATTTACAAAATTTTAAAATTGGAGATATTTAGATAATTTTTGTCGTGAGTGAAAAGAGTAGCAGATACTAAATACTGGAAGAGTCCTGCTTTGAAAATATTCTGATTATAAATTTTTTAACAGCTGTTTTATAAAATTGAAGAGAGAATAAAAAAGCAGCAAAGTTAAATTTTTTTTTTAACTTTATTTTCCCTTTTCCTTACAGATATCCTTTACGATGTTCCTGCAGGAATAATTGTACTCTTGAGTATATGTTACGGAACTATTTCCGTCTTAGCCGTTGTCGGCAACGCTCTTGTGATGTGGATCATTGCAACTTCAAAGCGTATGCAAAGTGTCACAAACTGCTTCATTGCCAATCTAGCATTTGCTGACATTGTCATAGGACTGTTTGCAATTCCCTTTCAAGTAAGTTATACAATAAAATTAATCTTCTTATTCTTTACTGTAAATTCATACGAGTACAACGCAAGAAATATTATTATTATATTCTATAAAATAGGGATGATGCTTCAAGATTTTCAAGAGACATACTTACACCGCACAAAACTTTTGAATCTTTTCATTTAAGAAATAAAAATTCAGAAATAAAATAGATAAAAATATTAAAGGGCCTTTTACTACTGGGGAAACGTGTAGTGCAGCTTTTACTATTCACAAAGTAAATTAAATAAAATAATAAATAAAATTATGAATAAAAATTATAATAAAATTATAAATAAAATTTATAATAAAATTATAAATAAAAATTATAACAAAATTATAAATAAAATTATAATAAATAATAAATAAAATTATAATAAAATCTAAATTGTCAAGGAACTTTTGCGCTTTTTTGACAACTTTCACTATTTTTTGAGTAGAAGTTGTTACGTTCGAAATTAGTGAAAATTGACAGAAATACACAGAGAACAGACTTCGCAATCGATAATTAATTTTAAAAAAGTAGCTTTCAACCTAAAAAAAGTAGTAAAAAAAACTCGATTTAGACACTTCACAAAACTGACAAGAATTCCATTCTATATTTTATTTTCCTGACTTTTTCACAATTTTCGTTAAAAATTTGTACTTCTTTCTTATTCTGCTAATAAATTGAATTCCTGTAACCAATTTTTACTATTCATGAAAAATTTAATTTAAATAATTAAAATCCTGAGAAACTTTTATTATTCATGAAAAAAATTAAATTCTTACGAAGATTATTACAAAAAATTTTTTCAACAATTAAATTCTGTTTGGAAATTTTATGAAAATCGTAGATATTGAAAATCATTGAATTGCGAAAAGTTTTTTAATTAATTAAATTTTAAAAAGAATTGTATTAAAATTGTTAACAATATGTAATTGAATATCTGTCTGGTATTTTATTACATTTTTTTGAAAATAATTAAATTCCTAAAAAGCATTTTATTATTTATGAAAATAATTGAATTCTTGCTAACAATTTCTTAGAATTTTTTTAAATAATTGAATTTCCAAAAAAAAAATATATTACTTTTAAAAATAATTGACTTCTTTTGATGAATATTGTTATTTATAAAAATAATTGAATTTTGCAAAGAATTTTATTAAAATGCCTCAAAATAATTGATTTTTCAGGAAGAATTTTGTTATTTATCTTTAATAATTGAATTCTTTCAAAGAATTAATTATGAAAATAATTGAATTCTTAAAAATCTAAAAGAATAATTGAATTATCTCAAAAAAAATTAATTAAAATTTGTATTTTAAATAATTGAAAAACTCTAATATTTTTGTAAACAATTGAATTTTTCAAAAGAATTTTAAAAAACATTTTTTTAAAAAATTGATTTTTCCAGGAATTGAAATTAAATTTTTAAGAATAATAACATTTTTTGAGCAATTCCTGTAAAATTGTTTTAAAATTAATTATATCCCTGCAACGAATTTTATTAAAATGACTCAAAATAATTGAATTTTCGGGAATAATTTTGTTATTTATCGACATAATTGAATTCTTTCGAAGAATTCCATATCTATGTAAATAATTGAATTTTAAAGAAGAATTTTATTAAAATCTTAAAGAATAATTGAATTATCTCAAAAAAATTTTATTAAAATATTTGAAAATAGTTGAATTCCTGTGAAAAATTTTAATACTTTTGTAAATAATTGAATTCTTCCAAAGAATTTAAATAAAAACATTTTAATTGAACACATAAATTGAAAACATAAATAATTGATTTTTTCGAGGAATTGAAATTAAATTTTTAAGAATAATTACATTTTTTGAGCAATTTCTGTAAAATTGTATTAAAAATAATTGAAATCCTGCGATGAATTTTATTATTTATAAAAATAATTGAATTATTGCGAAAAATTTTGTTCAAATTTTTAAAAAGAATTGAATTTCTGTAAAAAATTTTTATTGTTTTTGAAAATAATTGAATTTTTGTAAACAATTTTATTAAAACACTTTAAAATAATTGAATTCTTGGGAAAAATTCTAATATTTTTGTAAATAATTGATTTTTTCAAGGAATTGAAATTAAATTTTTAATAATAATAATTACATTTTTTGAGCAATTTCTGTAAAATTGTATTAAAAAGTATTGAAATCCTGCGATGAGTTTTAATATTTATAAAAATAATTGAATAGTTGCAAAGAATGTTATTATTTATAAAAATAATTGAATTTCTGTGAAAAATTTTGTTATTTTTGAAAATAATTGAATTCAGTATAGGAATTTTATTTTATTTTAAATAATTGAATTCTTATTAAAAACTTTATTTGTGAAAATAATTGAATTTTTTGATTTATTAATTCAAAATAGTATTAAAAATAATTGAAATTCTTCGATGAGTTTTATTATTTATCTAAATAATTGAATTTTTTAAAAAAATCGAATTTCCATGAAAAATGTTATTATTAGTGAAAGTAATTGAAATATTGCAAAGAATTGTATAAAAAATTAAAAATTTTGTTAAATAATTGATTTTTTTTTGAAATTTTTTTGAAAATGTTATTCAAAATTAATTGAATTTCCGTGGAAATTTTATTATTTATGAAAATAATTGAATTTTGGATGAATTTTATCAATTTTTCTTTAAATAATTGATTTTTTTTGCGAAATTTTATAAAAATACTAAATATTGAAAATAATTGAATTTCAAATATTTTTTGAAAATAATTGAATCGTTTTAAAGAATTTAATTATAATTTTTGAGAATAGTTTTTTTATTTCTACTATTAGCGAATATAAAGTAGTGGAGATTCAAAAAAAAACAGAAATAGTAGATTTTAGTGACTGAAATCTAAAAAAGTACCCAAAAATAGTAGCATTACGTAAAAAAAGTAGTAAATAGTAGGTTTTAGTAGATGAGTGCGAAGCCTGCACTGTTCCTGACAGTTTAGGTTTTGGTTTGTAAATAGTAAAAGTCAACTTTTACGTTACTTATTTTTTTTCTCTTTAAAAGTTAACTAATAGTTTAAAATTAATCCTCTTTATAGCTAAAAATCCTTCAAAATTCTTTAAAATTCTTTTCCACAAATTCTATTCCTCCCTAATGTCAAAGAATCTAAAATCGTAAACGACAATTTGCAAATCTAAGTTGAAACACACGTATAGTGGTGAATTCTTTTTTCTGAAACATAAAATTAGAAGAAGACAGGAATAAGAGACGTTTCACTAATTAGAGACCCTTTTTCAGAAAGTGCATAACGAACCATCCCTACAATCACAATTTACAAATTACAGAAAGTGTTAAATTTACCTGCAATTTGATACTATTAAACAATTTTGCTTCTTCAATAATTAATCTTTCTTTTTTGCTTCTTTATACGTTTTATTAATTCTTAATGTACACAAAAAAAAAAATTCCGTATTTACATTTTTCAAATATTTTCCTTATTAAAACGTCAAGTATAACACATCCTTCCTATTACTAAAATAATTCCAAATATTCTTAAACTACATCTCTATGTTTCACTGGGGATATTTTCATTCCCCACAGGGAGGAATATACCATCTACAAGTATATTTCCTTCGCGTCATATTATAGGCCAGTCGGTGAGTGCAAAAAGTGCACAAAAGTGCAACTGGAAAAGTCTCAATAGTTTCTTGTAGTTTGGGGGCCCCATATAAGAGCCCCATGGTTTGCTCTCGATTTCCGGTTGCAAAAAATAGTGTAAACAATCGTCAAAGTTCGAGAAACGTAGTTTTTCGATGACCCTTGCTTCCGGTTAAATTTTAGAGGAAAAAGTTGTTATTGAAAGTTGTAGAGCCTAAAAATACCTTTCAAATGATTGGTCATACGTTGAAAAAGGTTAATTAGTTTAGTTGCAAATGAATTTAAACCATTAAAAATAGCACTTTTTTAATTGTTTAATAACTTTGTTAATAATTATTGAATTTGTTTACAACTCACCAGGAATATTCTCCTTGCGAAGCTGAATAAATTAAAAAAAAAGTCAACTCGATCGGACAAATAGTTTATGTTTTATTCCATTTGTTAACTAAAAACATGAAATTTTTCAACAGAATTTCCCCACTTTTGGACCTGCGAATTTCGTTTTTTTTTCTTCGAGAGTACAGTTTAGGAGTCAAACTTTGATTCCATTTAAATGGGAAATTGATTTTTCTTATCTAAGTGCATAATAATAGACGTTAAAAAAGGGTATGTTTTTTTGACATAAACAAATGGAATAACTCAGTCAATTTTCACTTTATCGATTTTGTGTAAAGGGATTTAAATTTCATTCGTTTTCACAAAACTTTTCCAAAAAAAAATCCGACCTAGCTTCAAGGAGGGGGGAGTTAGTTTATTTTTTTCAAAAAATTCCTGACTAGTTAATTATCAATATTTTTAATTGCAATTCATACCACTTATAGTTCAATGTATGTATTTTATGAAAAAAAATTGGACATAAGGTTTTGTGCATTTATTTTTAATTTATATCAAGTAAAAGTAAATGTATCCATTTTTCAACCTCTGAACGGCGGAGTGGGGGTACTCGGAGGAGCGTGATTCTCGCCGCCACAACTGAATTTAGCTGTTCAAATTTGCAAAAATGGTCATAACTTCGTTAATTATTTACCGATTTTTATCTTTCTTTTTTTAATTTGATGTATTTTTTTACGCTGAATCCAAAAATAATTTTATATGTTTTCAAAATACAATATTTTTAATAATAAGAAAGAAAAAATTTTTAACAACAAATTTTTAATTATTATTTATCATATTTGACAAAAAATTCTTTTCGTACATATAATTCCATTGAATTTAAAATAATATTATGACATAAAAAAATTAAAATTAATTATATATAAGTGTGTAGCATCGTTGTATTGATAGTTGAACAGGTGTGCATATGTGAACCTGATGCCTACACACTTATATATAATTAATTTTAATTTTTTTATGTCATAATATTATTTTAAATTCAATGGAATTATATGTACGAAAAGAATTTTTTGTCAAATATGATAAATAATAATTAAAAATTTGTTGTTAAAAATTTTTTCTTTCTTATTATTAAAAATATTGTATTTTGAAAACATATAAAATTATTTTTGGATTCAGCGTAAAAAAATACATCAAATTAAAAAAAGAAAGATAAAAATCGGTAAATAATTAACGAAGTTATGACCATTTTTGCAAATTTGAACAGCTAAATTCAGTTGTGGCGGCGAGAATCACGCTCCTCCGAGTACCCCCACTCCGCCGTTCAGAGGTTGAAAAATGGATACATTTACTTTTACTTGATATAAATTAAAAATAAATGCACAAAACCTTATGTCCAATTTTTTTTCATAAAATACATACATTGAACTATAAGTGGTATGAATTGCAATTAAAAATATTGATAATTAACTAGTCAGGAATTTTTTGAAAAAAATAAACTAACTCCCCCCTCCTTGAAGCTAGGTCGGATTTTTTTTTGGAAAAGTTTTGTGAAAACGAATGAAATTTAAATCCCTTTACACCAAATCGATAAAGTGAAAATTGACTGAGTTATTCCATTTGTTTATGTCAAAAAAACATACCCTTTTTTAACGTCTATTATTATGCACTTAGATAAAAAAAATCAATTTCCCATTTAAATGGAATCAAAGTTTGACTCCTAAACTGTACTCTCGAAGAAAAAAAAACGAAATTCGCAGGTCCAAAAGTGGGGAAATTCTGTTGAAAAATTTCATGTTTTTAGTTAACAAATGGAATAAAACATAAACTATTTGTCCGATCGAGTTGACTTTTTTTTTAATTTATTCAGCTTCGCAAGGAGAATATTCCTGGTGAGTTGTAAACAAATTCAATAATTATTAACAAAGTTATTAAACAATTAAAAAAGTGCTATTTTTAATGGTTTAAATTCATTTGCAACTAAACTAATTAACCTTTTTCAACGTATGACCAATCATTTGAAAGGTATTTTTAGGCTCTACAACTTTCAATAACAACTTTTTCCTCTAAAATTTAACCGGAAGCAAGGGTCATCGAAAAACTACGTTTCTCGAACTTTGACGATTGTTTACACTATTTTTTGCAACCGGAAATCGAGAGCAAACCATGGGGCTCTTATATGGGGCCCCCAAACTACAAGAAACTATTGAGACTTTTCCAGTTGCACTTTTGTGCACTTTTTGCACTCACCGACTGGCCTATTAGCATTTCATGCGAGTAACACTTTTTAGTGAAATATATAGAAAGAAGGAATTTAGAAGAAAACTAAAAAAATGAATTAAACAAAGAATTTAAAAAAGAAGAATTTAGTTTCGACGTTTATTAGTTTTTCAGGTTTATTACTAAAGTTAAAGTACAGATAAAATTTTCAAAGAGAAATTTTGAAATTACTTTGTGTGTTTTTTTCAATTTTTTCAACATTTTAAAGAGTATGAATACAAATATTAAATATATCCTTCATGACTGGAAAAGATTCAAGAGTCCTTAAAGTCGTCAAGCTTTTTTTCAAATATAACAATAGAAAAAGTTTCTTTCATCTCTATTCTTAATAAAAAAAATAAATAAAATCATATCTGAAAATCTAAAGTAGACATACTTTAATATTCCTCACTCTTCCTTTTTTTAACATTTGAAAGAAAAACCAATAAGAAACAATTTTTAATAAAAAAGTCAGGAAGAAATTATTTTAATCGCATTAATAATTTCAGTTTCAAGCAGCTTTACTTCAACGATGGATTTTACCCCACTTTATGTGCCCATTTTGCCCTTTCGTACAAGCTTTGTGTGTAAATGTATCAGTATTCACCCTTACAGCAATTGCTGTTGACCGACATCGAGCTATACTAAAACCTTTAAGGTTAGTACAAAAAAATACAAATAAAATTCTTGCACTCTTAACATTTAATTGCAAAACCTTTTTTAAGTAAAACAAAACAAAAAAAAAATATTTCAATAAAGGCAAACTAGAAAAAGTGAAATGAAAAATTACAATAAAAAATTATAATTACTCATTTTTTTCAAAAGATTGTTAAATATAAAATTATCAATAAGATGTATAAATATCATGAAATTTTTCTTTCCGGTTATCGGACACTTGATTTATCGTTTGGGGCTCAGATTATATCAGCGAAAAGCGTACCTAGTGATTTCCTTTTTTTAAAATAAATGTGAATTCTGACGTTGACATGAGACAGAGGCATAATTATTCTGGTAACTTGGGGAAAAAACTATGTTTATGACACTAATCATTATTTAAATAAAGTTATCAGTAATTTTTCAAAGAGAAAAAAATCAATTTTTTTTTACAAAGCTTTTAAAAAGTTTACCTTCTTATAACTCTCTCTCTCTCTCTCTCTTTCTCCCTGCTTTTAAATCAAATGATCTTTAAATTCAAAATTTTTTTTTTCTTCTCTTATTATAAGTGAATTACTTTTCCTTAAAAGAAAATTTACGTCTTTTTAGACTTTCAAAGTAGTTTTTTTTATACACTCAGAATCTATCAGATATTTTAAAATGCAATTTTGAAGGGAGAACTTTTTTTTTATTAGGAGATAATTTTCTTATTCGCAAAATTAAATTCAAAATGTTCCTTTTTGTTATAATCATAAGTGAAAAGTTTTTATAAAAAACTGAATTACTTTTTTACTGTCGGATAATTTTTATCCACAAATTGCACAATAATTAAGTATAATATAAAAATATCCGGTTTTAAATTATGATGAATTTTTACCGAAAATTTTATTTAGCAGAATATCGAATTTTTATTTAACCTAATTTTCAATTGTCAAAATTATTAATTAACAATATTTTATCTAAAAAATATTTTTATTTAAAAATCTAATCGAATTTTAATTTATCAGAAATCTTGGGAGAGCATATTTCCGAAATCTTATTTAACATCATAGTTATTTGACATTAAACCATTTAACGTAAAGTTCGATCATTAAACAGTAAATTTATTTGACAAAAATTTAATTCCGCAAAAAATCAATTTAGCCACAAATATCGCTTGATATAAAATTCATTTGACGTTCATTTAATGTTACGTAAAATTCATTAAATAACAGATTTCCCATTTGACATAAAAATCACTAGACGTAAATTTCATTTGACACAAAAAAACTTGCGCGAATTTTAAAATTGGTCAATCGTAATTTTCTTGATAATATCTGATTGGTTACTTTTAAAATCAATGCCGATATTTTTGTCCAATGAAATTTATGTCAAATGAAATCTGTTTCAAATGAATCTTATGTCAAATGAATCTTATGTCGAATAAAATTAATGTCAAATGATTTTTATGTCAAATGAATCTTATGTCAAATGAATCTTATGTCAAATGAAATTAATGTCAAATAATTTTTATATCAAATGATTATGTCAATTGAAATCTATGTCAAATGAAATTTATGTTAAATGATTTTTTTATCAAATGATTATGTCAATTGAAATCTATGTCAAATGAATTTTATGTCAAATGAGAATTATGTTAAATAACTTCTATGTCAAAGGAACTTTAGGTCAAATGAAAATTGTGTTAAATGAATTTTATGTCAAGCGAGAATTATGTCAAATAAATTTTATATTAAGCGAACTTTATGTCAATAACAATTTTTGTCAATAAAATTAAATTTATTTTATTTTATTTTATTTTTCATAATAAACGGGACATGTTCAAATGCCAAATGAATTGTCAATTTAATGAAATTTATGTCGCATGAATTTCATATGAAATAATATTTATGTCAAATGAAATTTACGTTAAAATTAATATTCAGCAGAAAGATTTCGTCGCTAAATTTGACCTATCACTATTTTCTTAATATTCTCTGATAAATCAATTTTAAAATTCGCGCCGAAATCTTTCTGCCGAATGTTTGTTCGAAAAAAGAAAAACTGACAATTCATATTTCGGTATTTTAAAACTTCTAACAATTTAATTTTTATTTTTAAATTTCAGACAAATGAAAATTCGATAAAACAAAAATTCTGACATTTAAAAGTTCGATTCATTAAGATTTAGTTAAATATTTATGATAAATCAAAATTTCATTAGATTAAATTTCTTTTCAAATAAAACGATTGTTAATTAAAAATTTTGTCAATTAAAAATTCTGTTAAGTAAAAATTCACTGACCTAATATTCTGCTATGTTAAATTTACGCTATAAGCAAAAATTTAGATTAACTTAAAGTCATCGAAAACTTATGGAAATGGAATATTATGGAAATAATATGGAAATCTTATCTAATAAAATTCGCTGAAATAAATATTCTAACTAATAATTTTCATGCGGAATATTCAAGCGCCTCTTAGGTTAAAAATATTTTCGAAATATTCAAACTGAATAATTTTCCTACCCAAAAAGTAATTTTTCTTTTAATGGGAACAACCACAATTTTCCCAAAGTGTGAAACTTTGGTTTTTAAATTAACTTTTTTTTAAAAAAAATTACTTCTATTTTTATCAATTTTTGTCGCGCACATATTGTCATAGAGGCTAATTTTCTTTCTATTTCACAACAACCTTAGATTATATTTTAAATTCACTTGAAAACGGATTTCAGGAGTTGTGTGTGTGTGTGTTGGTGACTGTCTATTAAATTCACGTGTGTTCATATGTGAAAACCAAGTCAAAGTCGAAGTCTATGTTGAGAGGAGGGAATAAATGAAAGTTTTGGTACGGGGTTTTGTTCTGCGAATAAAGGTTCTTCTACGCTCAAGGAAAATTTAAGAGAGTTTCAAACTTGAAAAATACTTAAAAAATAAATATATATATATAAAAGAGTAACGTATGTTTCTTTCCAAACTACATTGATATTCCTAAATCAGTTTTTAAAAGTTTTACGAAACATTCTTATCACTTTAGAAAATTTTCTAACTTCATCTATATAAATAAAGCAAAATATCTAACGACATTAGATTTAAAAAAGTTGATTTAAAATACTTAAAATATTTAAAATATTTAAAATATTCAAAATAGTAAAAAATAGTAAAAAACTGAATTACTTAATAAATTTAATTAATTTGCTTAGTAATTAAATTAATTAATTTGTACTTTAACTTCGATATTCCAAATTGTCTTCGCAATAATGAACCTACAATCTACGATTTTATTTAATTTTCCTTTAACCATCATTCCACGGAGAAAATTCAAAAGAATAAAAATAATCAAAAAAAATCTAAAAATTAATTAGCTGTACACTAATTTACACCCTAATTTTGTTCCGGTTGTTTATAAATTACATCAACAAATCAAGTTCCTAATTTTGTTTTTTTTTCTCTATCTCGATTTCAAATATCCTAAGATTTCTATTGTCTTTAACGTCTCTATATCGCCCTACATCGTGTTTCAATTGTGTGATGTTCAAATACATCGCTTTTCTTTATTCTCCCTCTCCATGACATTTCTTATATTAAATTCTACGAATTTCAAAGATTTCTTTTCAAGACCCTTCATTTCATTTAGTACCAAACTATTTTCGTCGCCAGTATACAAGTAATTTCCGGTTTAATTTTCAAAATTTTCGAACGAAGCTTTCAATAAAATTTATGAACTGGAAACTTCCAACTATATCAAATTTCTAATTAGTATTATCGACTTCAATGTATAATTTAATCCATACATTCAATTCAATGAAGCATTAGTAATTCCACTCAGAAACTTGTAGTGTTATTTTATTTTTCATTTTTCTTTTTACTTCTAAATAAAAGAACAAATAATAAAAATTAAATTTTAATTTAACTTTAATTTAACTTCTGCAAGTATTTTCTTTAAAAAATATTTTCTTTTTTAAAGAAGGAATTTAGAAGATTAAAGACAAATTTTCCAAGTTCTGACAGATAAGAATTTCGACATAGAATAAAATGCGAATGGAATATATTGAAATGTTTTGCAATGCAGAAGAAAAATGAGAAAAGTAAAAAATTTAATGAAACTTAAGAAATTAGAATAGATATTTAATGAGGCACTTTAATTTTATAAATTGAATACATGTTTCAGTGCAAGGCCGAGCAAACTGAAAGCTAAACTAATCATCGGAGGTATTTGGCTGATTAGTGCAGCTTTAGCAGTGCCAATGGCAGTAGCTTTGAGGGTAATTATGATTCCGGAAGGACCTCACGGTGAGCATACAACAACAATAATAGTAGTAATTTATCATAATAACATATCCAATTTTTTCTCCAATTTTAATCGTAAAATTAAATAAGTTCAAATAAAGAGTAAAAAAAAATGAAAACGAACAAATTAAGAGAATTTTTATAATTTTCATAAATCATTGTAATTGTAATTGTAATTCAAATTCAAATTCAAATTCAAATTCAAATTCTAATTCTAATTCTAATTCTAATTCTAATTCTAATTCTAATTCTAATTCTAATTCTAATTCTAATTCTAATTTTAATTTTAATTTTAATTTTAATTTTAATTTTAATTCTAATTCTAATTCTAATTCTAATTCTAATTCTAATTCTAATTCTAATTCTAATTCTAATTCTAATTCTAATTCTAATTCTAATTCTAATTCATCAAATTCAAATTTTAATTCTAGTTCTAATTCTAATAAGAATAATACAGGGTTGCCACAAAAATTTTATTTTATTTTCCCCTGATTTCCAGACAAAATTTGGACTTTTTCCCTGACCCTGAAGAATATTCTGATTTACTTGAAAAATTATTAGGTACTCAGAAAAATTTTCTATTACATTTATTTACGAATTTCTGTAATTGTAAAATTATTCGAAAACATCGATAATTTATTTTTTAAATAAATATTTAATCATTATTTTTCTATGGAAATTAAGATTTTCGAATTCAAACCTTCTGAAATTCAATAACTTATAATAAATTTAAGATGACAGAGTGATAATATCATTATTTTATATCATAAGAATATTGTAACTATAAATTCAAATTTTCAAAGACTTTAATTTTGAACCTTTTTCAAAATTCTTTTTTATTTCTAAAAATTCACATTATACCTAATGCTTTTAATATTCAATTTTAATTTTAAATTTTAAGTAAAATTCATTTTTTAATCAATTTTTATTAAAAAATTTTCAAGAATTCAATTATATAGATACAAAAATAAATAATTTATTAAATAATTAAATTATTTCTTAAAAATAAATTTTTATAAAGAATTTTATCAAAATTTTTTAAAATAATTGAATTTTTACGGCGAATTTGAACAAAAATTTTTAGAATAAATGCAATTTTCTATCATTTTATTTAAAATTGTATAAATAATAATTGAAATTCTGCGATAAGTTTTATTATTTATGAGAATAATTGAATTCTTGCATCGAATTTTATTAAAAAATGTTTTTAAAGAATCGATTTCGTGTGAAGAATTTTATTTGTGAAAATAATTAAATTCCGGAGAAAAATATTATTATTTATAAAAATAATTAATTGCTTGTTTCGAATTTTATTCAAATTTTTTTTAAAATAATGATTAACAATTATTATTGAAAATAATTGAAATCTGAAGAAGAATTAAAAAATTTTTTTAAAATAATTCCTGGGAAGAATTTTATTAAAATTTCTTAAATAAATAAATTACTTCGATGAATTTTATTTTTTTACGAAAATAATTGAATTGCTTTGAAGAATTTAATTTTTTACTAAAATAATTGAATTGTTTCGAAGATTTTTACAAACATTTTTGACAATAATTGTATTCTACGATCAATTTTATTATAATTGTTCAAATTTATATATCATTTTATCAAAATTTTTTAAAATAATTGAATTCTCGAGAAAAAATGTATTATTTATAAAAATAATTGATTTCTTGCAAAGAATTTTATTCCAATTTTTTTTTTAAATAATTGAATTCTTAAGAAGAATTGTATTGAAAATAATTGAATTGTATAGGAAATTTTTGTTAAAATTGCAATTTTATTAACTAAATCTTGTAAAGAATTTTGTCAAAATTTTTTTAAATAATAGAATTTTTAAAAGAATTTTATTTAAATTTTTCGAAATAATTGAATTTCTCAGAACAATTTTTTTCAATTTTCTGAAGATATTTGAATTCTTTCGAGAAACTTCATTAAAAAATTAAAAATAATTGAATTGGTGTGAAGAAATTTATAAAAAATTAGTAAAGTATTTGAATTCCTGTTAAATTTTTATTAAAATTTTGTTTAAATAATTGAATTCTTTTGGAAAAATTGATTAAAATAGATGTTAAAAATAATTGAAATGAGGAAAATTTTTGAAAATAATTGAAATTTTGGCAAGAATTTTACTAAATTTTTTGAAAATAATTGAATTTTGGAGAAGAATTCTATTATTTATAAAGATAATTGAAATTTTGACGAGAATTTAAAAACTTTTTGAAAATTATTGAATTTCTGTAATCAGTTAGTTGTTCTTAAAATTTCTATTTTAATTCATAAAAAATTGATATTTTCTAAAATTTCTAATTAAAACCTTTCAAGTTCATCTATTTATGAAGATTGTAAGCGCAACTCTTTTGAAATTAAATTAATTTTGAAATTTTTAGGTAAAATTATTCATTAAATAATTTATGAGTAATAATTTTATGATAGTTCTTCAAGAATTAAGTTACACGGAGAGAGAATATATATTAAATTTTGTAAAAATATTTTCAAATTGGGGAAAAAGTGCGACAAAGCGAAATTTTGATATAAAAATACTAAACTTTGAAAAAACTTATGTGAAATTTAGTATAATTATATCAAATATCAAGAATATTAATTAAATTCTAATATAACTTTAATAAATTTCACAAAAATTTTTTTAAAGTTTAGTATTTTTTTTATCAAAATTTCGCTTTGTCGCACTTTTTCCCCAATTTGAAAATATTTTTACAAAATTTAATATATATTCTCTCTCCGTGTACTTAAAAAAAAATTATTGTCAGAAATAGAAAAAGTTGAAGCTTTCGTATTAGAGTTCTTGTAAATTTCATAATTTATGAGGTAAACAAAAAAGACACAAAAATCCAGAATTTTCTTATAAATTCTAAAAATTAAATTTTTCCCAGTACTTTTAATAAAAATTCTTGACTTTTCCCTGATTTCCCTGAGCAATTCTAATTTCCCTGACTTTTCCCTGAATTTCCTGACTTCCCTGACATGTGTCAACCCTGCAATAATCAGTCATTTATTACTATTAAATTAGTAGTTTTTTTTTACTAAAAATTACAGCAACATTTAAACGCAAACTTAAAAACAAACATTCCGTGCGCATAAAGATCTTAACGGATTTATGTCATATGAACGAATTTAAAATCCCTAAAACAAATCACTAAAGAAAGTCAACTGTTAAACAAATGTTTAAAAAAGAACACCAAATGGAAAAAAAATTTGTCGAAAGTAATTTGAAACAAAAGATCTAATTTTCTTTGTTATCCTTTGTTTCCCCACATTTCAAAGTATCGGCGAACCTTTTCAATGTCTAAAAACAAATTGCAAAAAAGAGGGGAAAAAAATAAATTGAATTTGACATTTGTAAATTAATAAACTGTCAAAAAGAGTTCATTTAAAGGGAAGAAAATTATTAATTTCCAATAGACAGAAGAAAAATTCCGATACTATAGATAAAAATGAAAAGCGAGGGTTGGATGGCGGGACACACAATTTTTTATCAGAACAACATCAGGAGAGCAACAACCATTTAGGATTAGGTGTTTCTGTAATTTACGAACGAGGATATAATTCTTATTTTACTATCATTGTTATTCCTACCATGTAATACTATTGAACTTGATTTAGTAGAACAATTTCCTTTTCTTCTTATTTTGTAAAAGCCTCCTTTTTTTCGCCACTTTCCATTCGGAATAATCTCTTTTAACAGTAACAATAAAATAAAACTTCATGCATATCTTCAATTTCTTTGTCAAAGCTATCTTTTCAACAACCCCTCTCAAACATTTCTTTTCTCCCCTCTCTCACAAATTTTCTGGTGGAAAATGAAAGAAAAAAACCAAACACATTTTCTGTTGATAGTATACTTAAACCAATAACAATAATGTACGTTTGAGCAAATTTCATTTGAAAATTTTTACCATGAAAGGAGAAATAAATAAGATTTACAACATAAATCCCAATTTATAACTCTGTATAAAGAAAATATTGCACTAAAACTTTTTTATTTTAGAGAACAATATCGTAATTAAAGCAGTGAAAAGAAGTTGATAAAGTTATGTTACTGAAAAAAGTTGAAATATTTTTCCCCCTTTTTTTTTTTACTTCTTTTACACTTTTTTTTAATACATTAGCTAATAAAACTATCATGATCAAATATTTTATCGATAGAGTGCTATCGGAGCACATTCAAGTATAACTAGTACTATAAACTTTCTTTTTTTGTCATTTACGAAAGCATATTTTAATAGCATTATATTTTTCAATCAAACTTGATTTTCAACTGGGTCAGAAATTTGCCAATAAATCTTTCTTTTGAAAAACAAAAAATTTAAAAAAAACCTAGAATTATGGAAAGTTTTCCATAATTCTCGAAATCACCTACTAATTTAATTTTAGTACTATATTCAGATATAGATTTTAAATCATTTAAATAAAAACCTGATTTTGTACGTCTATGATAATGTTAAAATAAATTACCTATGCCTTTCATCTTTTCTAATAAAACAAATTTCTCGAATGATAATTAGTTTTAATTAAAACTTTTAGCACTGAATTTGAATGCAAGTGGAATCTGGATAGAATATCATTACCAACCTAAAACCAAAGCCTTTAAAAACAAGTGAGATCATTGCAATTTCCCATTAATATTCAAGAAAACAGATAAATTCTTATATTTTATTTTTTTTAATTGACTTGGGACTAAATAATTCCCGCCAATTAAGAACTTTTATTGACTTGCGTTACATAACAATAATAATCCTCAAGTGAAAACTTTTTTTTTTTATTTAATTTTTTTGAATTCCCTGACTTCATCTAAATGTACATAAAACTCATTAACCCTCGAAACTGTTTTCAAGTATTTTTTTCACACTCTCTTATTCCAATTTATCGGCAAATTCATTACGTAACGCTCAACTCTGTTTAAATTTGATTTAGTTAAAAATTACTAATTTGATATAGTAAAAGGTCAATCAGTTATTTGTAATTATTAAAATTAAAATCAAAAATAAAAATATTTAAATATTTTTAATAATTATTATAGTTTTAATTATCAATTATTAATTAAATTCACTTTTAGTTTCTCAAAATAACTAAAAATGTTAGTAACTAAATTAGACAAATTTGACTATTTTAATTGGGTAAGAATTGTAAATTTTTTATAACAAAAATTTCTAATGCGACTCTCAAAAATGAAAGTAGATGAAAAAAAATATTTTAACTTTTAAAACTACAGAAGAATCAATTTTTCATTCTATTCAGTGGACGATCTAATTTTCCTATAAACCAACTTTACTGATTACCATTTAATAATACATAACACACCTAATGTGTTTACATAATTAAATCCATATAATTAGGTATAAGTACATTGAATAATACACAATAATTGGATACTACAGTTAATATTTACATTCATTAATAAATTTTATATAAACAAACTATGCAAAATTAATAGTTTTTGCAACTAATTTGCACTGAACGCTGAATGTTAAGCGAGAATAATTTTCCTTTGACCGGAAATTCCATCTTAAAATTCTCGATTTTGCCGACAGTTCGAAATTATTTAAACAATTAAAAAAAATATAAATTGAAACTGTCATAAACATTTTTCTACAGCTTTTATTTTTGTTGATTAACTACGAATGCATAAAATTCATATTTATTTTTACATAAAATACAAATGCACAAAGAACAGTGAAATTAAAAATTTAATAAAGTAAAAAGAATTTAATTCCTCATTTTACAAAATATCATATACATTGTTCAATTATTTATTTACATTATTTGATGGAAATTAAATAATAAATTCCTGAAATACCAAAGTACTACAAAAATTGAAATAATTTTATCTCGATTATAAATTCTGTCTACTATACTTCAGTGTTTAATGAATTGGATGTTCTCCTTTAAATGAAAAAAAAAAAAAAAAGAATTATACTGTCAGATATATTTGAAATTTTTTATTAATTATACCAGCTTTTTATAAATCCGTGGATTTGTAAACTTGAAAATAACTAATTATAAATTTTCCCTCTACTCAATTAATATTTATCAATAATTAAAAATAATAAAAAGTATAATAAAAGAATGGAAAATTAGGACTAAATTAACTTTACCAACTAAAATTATAAACTTCCTCCATTAGATATTGGGAGGGTGGGAAACTTGACACTTTCATCATTTAAGATAGTTGTCTCGAGTTAATCTCTACCAAAAATTAATGCAGCAGAAAAGTTTTTGAAATAAATTCATTTTTTATATTTAATAATAATGTACGGAAAAGTAAAAAGTTGTTTTACTTTTTCTTTATTTATTTCTTTACTTAAAAGATTAAACGAACCTTTTTTCTTCGTTTTCAAATAAAAAAAGCGTGTAATAAGTTTTAATATCAAAGAAACTAACACAAAATAACTTTTTCAAATGATTTTATTAAAAATGAACTTTCACAACGACTGAAATCGTAAAAAAAAGAAAACAAGCGACTTAAAAAGATTAAAATATTAAATCCCTCTTTCTACAAGAAGTGAATTCTATGATAATTGACTGTAATGCAGTGAATAAGGAAACAAAAGGTGCACTGAAAATTATGCAATAAGATCTACATAACGAACTAAATTCCCATTGAAAATCTATTTACGAAATGGAATTTATTAAAATGGAAATTTGTTAATAAGACAATTTGTTTAATAAAAAAAAAAAAAAATTCTTTCGACAAATTTTATGATTCTTTTTTTTGCATTTATGCGAGTGAACCGTAAAAATACTTCTTCAATCTAACAATACTTTTAATCCCTAGAGAGAATTATTTACCTTCTTTACTATTTTTAAACTACCACTACACATAAATTTATTTTCGAAAAATCTTTTAATATTGTATTCTAATATTCCTTTTTCTTTATAAATAAGCTTTATTTTATTTATTATTTTCTTTATCGTTTATTTTATATAAGCATTTTCTCTTTTTCTTTGTCTTCTTCGTTTTCTTTTGTTTTCAAAAGTAAAAACTATTTGTGATTTTTTACTTAAAAATTTATAATTTATTCCATTTATTTTAATTATTTTAATTTATTATTAAGTTTATATTTATAGATTAAAAAATTTTAAACTTTGAAAACATTTTAAAAATAATGGAAATTTATTTAATAAACATGACAAAAAATATAGAAAATAATAAAGAATAGATATAATAAAAAATGAAATTAATAAAAAAAAATAAAGAATAACTTTTAAAAAATATTACCAAGGAAGATTATTTTATAATTTTATAAGTAAATTAAAAAAAGGAATGAGAAATATTCATGAATCTAATAAAATTAACTTGGATGACACTTGATTTTTTTTCCCCATGGAAACGAGTTTCTTAAAAATCAGATAAAAAAAGCAACTGTGTTATTTGATTATTTAATAAAATTATATAACATAAATTCTTCAGATATTCATTATAATCAGTGAAGAAAATTTTTTAATTCCCTTTTTTACTCTTATTATACTTTATAAAAATTGCGATCGTAACAGAATTTAATTAAAATGCATAAATATCTCAAGATTTTATAAAATAAGAAATTTAAAATTATACACAGAAAGAAAATTTCATTTCATTCCAATAAACAATTAGTTGTTTATTAGCAAATATCTATTTACTTATTCAAATTTTCAAATAAAATTCGATTCAAATAATTTTCATTTTTAATATTTATTCAGGGTGTCTACTATTTACGTTCAACAAAATTCCCCGTTTTTTCCCGGTTTTGTCCTAATTATTGTTCCCAGTTTTTTTTCTCATCAAATTTAAATTTATTTGATTTCGAACATAAATAAATCTACAAATGGCTTCAAAAATTTGTATTAGATTTTTTATAAATATTTAAATTCTTTTGACGAGTTTCTTTCAATTTTTTGAAAATAATGTTTTTTTTAATAATTTTAATTAAAAAATTTGGAAAATAATTGAATTAAAAAAACAATTTTTTCAATTTTTTAAAATAAATCTTGTCTGTTCATAATTATAGTTGAAAATTTGATTAATTCAATTTTATTAAAATGTATTGATACTAATTGAATTTCTGTAAAGAAATTTACTATTTCTAAAAGTAATTGAATCCTTCCAAAGAATGTTATTATTTATGAAAATAATTGAATTCTTGCGAAGAATTTTATTAAAATTTTTAAAAATAATTGAATTGTGGAGAACAATTTAATTATTTGTAAAGATAATTGAAATTTTGAGGAGAATTTAAAAAAATTTTTAAACATAATTGAATTTCTGCGAAGAATTTTATTACTTTTGAAAATAATTATATTGTTTTTTAGAATTTTATAGAAATTTATGAAAATAATTGAATTCTTGTGAAGAATATTTTTTCAAAATAATATTTAATAGAATTTAGTAAATCTAAAGAATTTTGCTATTTATGGAAATAATTGAATTCTTGAGAAGATTTTTTTTCAATTTCTAAAAATAATTGAATTCTTTCGACGAATTTTAATAAATAAATAATTAATAATTAAATGTTTGCGTAGGATTTTATTAAAATTTTTTAAAATAATTGAATCTTGGGGAAGAATTTTATTATTTTTTAAAGATAATTGAAATTTTTAGGAGAATTTAAAAAAAAATTTAAGCAGAATTGAATTTCTGCGAAGAATTTTATTACTTTTGAGAATAATTGAATTCTTCAGACGAATTTTAATAAAATTTTTACGAATAATTACATTTTTCGAGGAATTCTATTAAAATTGTATTAAAAATAATTGAAATTCTGCAATGAGTTTTACTATTTATGAAAATAATTGAATTTATTGCGAAGAAATTTTTAAAAATAAAATTATAATTACGGTGACTATAACTTCCCTTGCTTATTTTTGAAAAATTTAAATAAAATTCTTTAAAATTATTTAGTTATTTTTAATAGAATGTAAAGAAATTTCAATTATTTCAAAAATTTTTAATTATTTGTTTATAAAAATTCAATTATCTTGAAACAATAGAATTGAAAAATTTCAAAAATCTTATTTTACAGAATTTTCCAAAAAACGTTGCGAAAATTCAATTTTATTAAAAAAATTTAGATGTGTATCTTTTTTTAAATTAGCTAATAAAAATTTTAATTAATAATCTTCGCACTAAGAAACATAAAATACATTAGAATGTGACTCTTTATAAAATTTAATTATTTATCAATTATTAAATTAAAATACTTTGAAAATTCGATTTGTTAAAAAGTTTTTAATGAAATTCTTTAACAAATTTAATTATTTTCAGTTGAATTTTACAAAATTTCTGTTAATTCGATAATTTTTTTTTTAAATTTATTTACATACTATATTTGAGTCAGTGATTGATTTTTTACTATCACATTAATTATTTTTAACTAATTCAAATTTAGAGAACAGTATAAATATCTATAAAAAATTGAAATAAAAAGCGATTTTTTAAAAACAAATTAAAATAATAAAACTTTTTTAATTTGGTAAAAAAAACACCCTGAAAAAATAGTTCTTGTAAAGAAATATTTCTATTTATTTCACGAATTTTCCTATTTATGATACCTAATTATAAAAGTTGATAAGAAAAAATTTATTTTTTTAATTTACAAAAAAAGAAACCTTTTTTTAATGTAAATAAAAGATTAAAATTGGATGAAAAAGAGATTTCAAAAATAAGTAAATAATATAAAAGTTTGTGTTTTTTATTTTTTTATTCATTAAAAGTTTTCTTCAATTGCGTACAAATTGTAAACATTGAATAATATTTATTTTTATTTCTACAGCGCCGCACATAAAAAAGCCCTTTTGTCACAATGAAAATATGTCTGAAAGCTCGATGCTGACATATAGAGCTGTTTTAGGATTTCTACAATATCTCACACCCCTAACAATCATATCGTGCGTTTACGCCAGAATGGCTTTAAGATTATGGGGCAGTCGAGCTCCTGGGAACGCACAAGACTCAAGAGATGCCAATTTAATGAAGAATAAGAAAAAGGTAAGCCATTTTATTCCAACATTCTTTTATTTTTCTCCTAAGCGTTTATAACACACATGACATCACAAATTACCAGAAAGAAAAAAAATTGGCTAAAAATATTTACTCCGGACTACTTTCAAACACTATTCTCGAACTTAACAAACGGAACTGATTTCAAAAAACTAAAAATTCAAAAGGACTTTTCTTAGAAAGACAATTTTCTATATAACATTACACAAAAATTACTTTATTTTGAAAATTCTTATTAAAAAAAAAGAAAAATTCTTCACGAGCATATATATATAATTCATGAACCAATAACAATGAAAACAACTTTTATTTTCATTATATGCTCGGCACGAGTTATGAAGCTTGGAATTGATTCAACCGCACGTATAAAACTTATTGTGCATACCCTTCTATCCACAAAGCGAAAAAAAATAAGCAAAGACCCACAAATGTGCTAGAGGGCAAGAAAGATGTAGATGTGAAATGTTTTTGAATCTTCTGCCAAATTTTCCTCTCGCCTTTTCTTTTTATAAAGATAAACATTGAAAATACTTATATTTATTTTTATTCGCAAAATTTGAGTTATAAAAATATTCTTTTATTATTCTTGCTGCAGTTTAATGAAAATAATTGAATAATCCAAAACTATAACTGACTTCTAATTATTTTATTAACGGTCCGAAAAGTTTTAATGAATATTAAACTTTATACAGAAGCAAAATCCAAGACTAAGTTATTTTGAAACTTTCTTAATTTTAAATTACAGGTAATCAAAATGCTGGTTATTGTCGTAGCAATATTTGCAATTTGCTGGTTACCACTTCAAACGTACAACGTTCTTCAGTACACGTATCCAGAAATAAATGAGTAAGTCGAAATAAGCAATTAAAACACACTTCATCTAGAAAATTAATATGTATGTACTTTTTTTTTAATATATATATATACTTCTTTCAAGAAAATAGTCTTGGAAAACTTTTCAAAAATTCATTGCTTCTAAACTCTATCAAAAACTATATTATATGAAGAAATTTTATGTGATGAAGAAAAAATTTGAAATTTATAAATGAAAATTCAAAAAATCCCTCTGGCTTTTATTTTTGACCTAGATATAAATAAAAGAAATATGGTGGAAAAGTAAGGAATAACTGAAGAAATAAAACGAAACTCTTTAGAATCGATTTTATATTTTTAGATTTTTAAATTTTTAAATAAAGAAAATAACAAATTTCCATAAGAATGAAATTCGGAAAATAAAAATCTAAATGGTGCAAAAAGTGAAAAATAACTCAAAGAATTTATTCTTTGAGCTTTTAAATTTTGAATTTATTAAACAAATTTTTAAAAATTGAAAATCGATTCAATTATTTAAAAAAATTAAATTATTTCAAATAAATTATTTCAATTATTAAAAATTCAATTATTCCAAAGAGTTTTGTCTTACAAAACTCTTTAGAATCGATTTTAAATTTTTAAACATTTTTAATTGCAAAAAATATTTTTTCATAAAAAATTTTCAAAAATGCAGGCTGTGCACTCATCTACTAAAACCTACCTACTATTTAAAACTTTTTTTACAATTTGCTACTATTTTGATACTTTTTTCAGATTTCTGACACTAAGTGCTACTTTTTTCTTTTTTTTACAAATTACATTTGTTTAAATCCGCTAATATGTATAATTGAAATAAAGAAATTATTCTCAAAAATTGTAATAGAATTCTTAGAAACACTTTAAACAATTTTAATAAAATTCATTAAAATGATTCAATTATTTTTAAAAAATTTAAGAAAATTTTTTTGGCAAGGATTAATTTATTTTTCCAATTAACGAAATTCTTCGATGAAATTAAATTATTTTCATTATCTACTTTTTTAATAAAAATTTAACAAAAGAATTCCTTTATTTTAAAACTATTTTAATAAAATTCTTTACAAATTTCATTCTTTTTAATGAAAATTTTCAAAATTCACAGTCAAGATTAATATTTACTTAATTATTTATTTAATTTTTTTTAAATATTTAAAAATAAGAAAATAAGAAAGATAATAGCTTTTCAATTTTGAAAAATTTCCAAACAATTAAAATTTGGTAAAATGTTTTAAAAATAATTGAATTTTTAAAAAATATAAATAAAAATGAGTCCAAAAAGTAAATTTTCATAAATTTTGATTTATATTGTTCGAAGATAATTGAATCTTAAAAAATTATTAGAAAACAATTCTAATAATTAGTTTTTGAAAATACTGAAAATATTGAATTTTAAAAAATTAGAAGCTAATTTTCATTACTTTTCATTTTTAAATTTACATCATTAACATTTTTGATAATTCAATACTTTTCAAAATTTGCAATGAATATTCTTCAAAAATTGATTTTTAAAAATTGTAACAAAATACTTGAAAAAAAATTAATTATTTTCAATTAAAATGTACAAAGTTTCAATGTTTTGAAAAAAAGTCGAAAAAGTCGCAATTTTTTAAAATAATTCGAAAAAAGTCTAAATTTTCTTAAGTTCCATGACAAAAAATTTTTTGCTAATCTGGGTCCCTAACAATCTCTAAAAACATGTTTGGTTTTTAAAAATCTCCTCCTTTTCCCTTTAAAGGATTAAATACTTTCAAAAGAATAATAGAAGGCAATAAAAATCAATTTAGACATCATTTTTTAATAGATGACGCAATATCTAATACAATTTGATCCTAAAGAAGAAATAAGTAAACGTTGAGAACTTGAGGAAAAATATTATTTACTTGAAACTAATAATTTTTATCTATACCGCAAATATCGAACCAATAATTATTTCTCTAATTGAAGTAAATAACATTTAATTGCTTTCAATTAAAATCATTTTTTTAAAAATAATTCGCTAAATAATAGTCGCAGGACTTGATTTAAATCAAATAAATTTTATTTTCATAGCAAAAACTGAAATTTGGAATAGTGTCTGTTTTGCAAATATGCTAAAAGAATGCAATATACTGCGCTATAGAAGAAAAAAAAAGACCCAATTCTATATTCAATTGATTTCATTTTTCTATCTCAGCAAGCCATGAAATGTGGACATTTTATATAAAACCTAAACAAAAGTCAATATTTACACAAGAATTTTACAGAACACAATGAAAAAAATATGAATAAAAAAGAAAATTCAATTCAAAAAGTCAATATAAACTCATTAAATACAGTTATTAATTAAAATCCCATTAGTCATTTGAATAATTTCCTTTTTAAACTATATACTTTTCTTTTCTAGCATTTTATTTTTATTTTCCAACATTTTTCACGGTAAATTGCCCGAATATGCAGAATGTATTTTAATCCCATGACAAGAAGGGAATATTTTTTGCCACGAAAGCTGAATTCAGTTTTTATTTATCTTTTATTAAATTACGCAGTGCTTTTGTGTAATTGAAATATTTTGCAAAATTTGCAACAATTAAAAAGCAAAATGGGAGAAATAAATTTTATCTCAATCATATCGCGACTCATCTCTCTATCTCTCTCCTTTTTTTTAATATAATAATTTAACAAAAGAATATAACGATAAAATAATTTTCCATTATCCAATATATTTTACGTCAACAATATTTACAAGGCATTCATTGAATAAATTTACACAACATAAATTTTGAATAACGTTAATAATTGAATTTCAGATATCGATATATCAACATAATATGGTTCTGCTGTGACTGGTTGGCAATGTCCAATAGCTGTTACAACCCGTTTATCTATGGGATTTACAATGTAAGTAATAAAGAAAGGAGGAAAAGAAATTTTTTCTTTTTTCTTAATAAAATGTCAGCTATTCTTATTTTTAATTAAAGTTCGAGGACGTGATTAATAATTAGATGTCATGAAATCTAGACTGAAATGAAATTATTGAAATTACTTTTCTTTATACTTTAGAAACTATACAGTGGACAAATTTTAATATTCATGGAAACATTAAATTGTTAATTAAGAGAAAAATTCTGTAAATACGAAAATTAATTATTCTAAACTCAGAAAAATAATTTTTTAGTCAATAGTTTAACAAACTTGTTTTAAATTTTAATTAGAACTTTCTATTAATGTCAACATTTAATTAATGATTATTTAGTTATTACTGTATAATTTTTATATTTATTATTATTTATTATTATTATTATTTATTATTTATTATTTTATTATTTATTTATTTATTATTTTTTATTTTTATTAATTTTTTATTTATTTTATTTTATTTTTTTATTTATTTATTTTAATGTTTTATTAATATTATTTTTTATTATTATATTCTTTGTTAATCTTATTAATATTAATAAATACCTATATTAATAATTATTATTATATTTATTTGGTATATATTAGAAATTAAAAACTTTAAATAATTAAAAAAAATTCTATTAAACTTATTGAGAAAAATTAATTCTACATAGAATTCTTAATTAAAAGTATAAAAAGTTCAAATTTTCAAAGATTTTAATTTGGAATTTATTTTTAAATCAATATTTCTTAGAAAATTCTACGAGATTTCAATTATTTAACTAATAAAATAAATATTTTATTAAACAATTTAATGTTTCTTAAAATTGAATTTTCATAAAGAATTTTATCAACAATTAAATATTTGAATTCTCTTGACAAATCTTGACAAATTTTAATAAAAATTTTAAGAATAATTGCATTTTTCAAGAAAATAATAATTGACTTTCTACAATAATTTGCAACTATTCCAAAATTAAATTTTCTTTTGTTTTTAACTAAAATTCTTCTATAAATGGATTATTTTTAATAATTTTTGAAAAAGTTCTTTGCTTTTCAAATTCATTTGTTTGCAATTCAATTTTACAAAATTTCAATTATTAGTAAATTTTTTAATTAAATTTATATTAGAAAATAAAAACTTCAAAAAATTTTTTTAAAAAATCCGCAATTAAACTTTCTCAAAAAAATTAATTCCACAGAATTGTTGGTTAAAAATATGAAAAAATTCATATTTTCAAAGATTTTAATTTAAAACATTTTCAAAATTCATATTTTCAAAGATTTTAATTTAAAACATTTTCAAAATTCAATTATTTCTAAAAATTCACACTCTAATGTTTTTAATATTCAATTGTTATCTAAAATTTTAATTGAAATCCATTTTTAAATCAATTTTTGTTAGAAAATTCTACTAGAAGTCAATTGATTTAAATATAAAAATAAATAATTTATCAAATAAATGAATGTTTTTCAAAATTGAATTCTCATAAAGAATATTATCAATAAATTTTTAAATAATTGAATTCTTTTGACGAATTTTAATAAATTTCTTAAGAATAATTACATTTTTCGAGAAATTCGATTAAAATTCTATTAAAAATAACTGAAATTCTGAGATGAGTTTTATTAAAAAGAATTTTAAATTTTTTTAAAATAATTAAATTCTTTTGCAAAATTTTATTAGAACAGTAGATATTTAAAATCACTGAATTGAGGGAAATTTATAAAAATAATTGATATTTTGACAAGAATTTTATTAAACTGTTTTAAAAATAATTTAATTTTAGAGAAGAATTTAATTATTTATAAAGATAATTAAAATTTTAACGAGAACTTTTATAAATTTTTAAACATAATTGGATTTCTGCGAAGAATTTTATTAAAATTATTTTGAAAAAAATTGAATTATTACTCAAACAATTTCTTTAAAATTTTTGAAAATAATTTTATTCTTGAGAGAAATTTAATTAAAAATTTACTGAAAATAATATTATTATAATAATAATATTATATTAAAATAATTAAATTTCTTTGATAAATTTTAATAAAATTTTTAAGAATAATAACTTTTTTCGAAAAATCCCATTAAAATTGTATTAAAAATAATTGAAATTCAGCATTGAGTTTTATTATTTATGAAAATAATTGAATTTTTGTAAAAAATGTTATTATTCATAAAAATAATAAAATTGAATAATATATGAAAATAATTTGTAAATAATTGAATTCCTGTGAAATTTTTATTATTTATGAAAATAATTAAATTGCGTAGAATTTTATTAAAAATGTTTTTATCTAATTGAATTATTTTATGAATTTTTATTAAAGTAGTAAATATTAAAAATTATTGAATTGAGGAAAGTTTTTGAAAATAATTAAAATTTTGCCAAGAATTTTATTACAATTTTTGAAAATAATAGAATTTTTGAGAAGAATTTTACTACTTTTGAAAATAATTGAATTTCTGCAATCATTTTTCAAAATTCAATTTGTTTTAGTGTTTTTAACTAAAATTCTTCTATAAATTGATTATTTTTAATAAAACTAGTTAAATATATATATTAGAAAATTTAACTAATTTCAAAAGAATTTTAGTTTAAAAATTTTTTTTTTAATCTAAGTTTTTTTATATTTTTAATTAAATTCATTTAAAATTGAAATTTTATAAAATTTTAAATCAAAATCTTTCAAAGTTCATCTACTTATGAAAATTATAAACGCAATTCTTTTAAAATTGAATTAATTTTGAAATATTTAAGTGAAATTAGATTTCAAGAATAAACACAATAACTTTAGAAAACAACAATTTTCCAGGATTTCGATAAAAATTCTGTCTTTTACAGTTTTTTTCAAAGTTTACAAAATTCCTGACATTTCCAGGTTTTCCAGGTTTGCTTCTTAAACAAGAAATTATTAATTTATTTAACTATTTATTTAATTTATTTAATTATTTATTTATTTAACTTGAAAAAATATTTACAGGAAAAATTCAAAAGAGAATTTCAACAAAGACGTCCGTGTAGATCTCGAAAATGGTCATCGAGTCCACCAACGGACAGTTTAGATATGGATAAAACGCAAAGTACCAGAGCGTCCATCAGGTACATTCTCAGGTGCTCTATTCCTATAAAAATACATTTGTATTTTTATGTCTAGCAAACCAAAAAACTACTGCACTCCTAAACTTACATTCACTATTTCTTTTGTTTTAATGAAAAAAAAAAAAATTGCACTCCTTGTAATCAATATTCTAAACGTAAAGAAATATCAAAGGAATAAAAGTCCAGCAATGTCTTCAATTATTTAATAAAAAGAATTAAAATGAATGAAAGTAGAATTTAAATAGAATAAAAGTAGAATTTAAATAGAATGAAAGTAGAATTTAAATAGAATGAAAGTAGAATTTAAATAGAAGAAAAGTAGAATTTAAATATAGAAGAAAAGTAGAATTTAAATATAGAAGAAAAGTAGAATTTAAATAGAAGAAAAGTAGAATGGAAATAGAGAAAAATGGAAATGGAATGGAATTTAAAGAAAAATTTTTTTATTTGCACAGATATGACTGGAGAAGACCAACATCTAGCGGTTGTCCAGCAACGTCATCTTTCTACAGAAGTGCATCAATAAGAGAAACATCAAGACTAATGGTAAACGGAAATGAAATACAGACGCGTTCTATAAATTCAAGTGGATGTTCCACTCGCAATGGACACGATAACCAGTCTTCTATTCCCAGGAGCGCAGATAGAACAACGGAGTTGTATGTTTTCTCATCCGGAAGACACAAACACAGTCGTGATCTTGCTAATCAAGAACTTTGCTTATAATTTAAGTAAACACATAACTGGATAACTGGATGTCATTTTCCTGACCCAGTCTAATATAAGACATAAAACTTTTTATCAAAAACTTAGTGAATTTTCGTTAGAGGAAAAAAGAATTTAAATACAAAATAATTAAAATATTTAAATACAAAAATATTTAAATATACAAAAATATTTAAATACAAAAATATTTAAATACAAAAAATATTTAAATATACAAAAAATATTTAAATATACAAAAATATTTAAATACAAAATTATTTAAATACAAAAATGTTTAAATATAAAAATATTTAAATATAAAAAAATACTTAAATTCAAAATTATTTAAATACCAAAACATTTAAAAACAAAAATATTTAAAAATTTAAAATATTTAAATATACAAAAATATTTAAATACAAAATTATTTAAATACAAAAATGTTTAAATATAAAAATATTTAAATATAAAAAAATATTTAAATGCAAAAATATTTAAATACCAAAACATTTAAATACAAAAATATTTAAATACAAAAGTATTTAAATATAAATTAGCAAAAACGCAAAAGTATTTAAATATTTCAAAATACGAAGTACTTAATCGATTTCTATCAAATTACAAAAAAAAATTGAACTCATTTGTATAAAAAAACAGACCAACAGAATTTAATTTAATGTTCTAATTAAAATTACAATAATTAGAAGAAGTCAATCAAAATTAAGCTACTGAAGCTTACCGAAATATGTGGATAAATTTAGTAGCCAAAGTAGACTTATTTATTAAATTAAAAATATAGTTACTAAGTACACAATCATTATGTACATAGCCTCATTTGAAAACATAATTAAAATTCATAAAGTTCTTAGTATTAGAGATTGTTAAATTTATAAAAAAAATATTTATTTAATGCATTATTGATGACGAAGACATTCAGATTTTTAAGTTACTACATAAACGAAAGAAGTGACGAGTTACTTTTACTATATACAACTCTTTGATTCTGAATTACTCTCTATATTTGAATTAGTAAAATTGTTTACTAATTTGTATTAGTGACTGACTTTTTGCTGTTGAATTAGTAAATTTTACTAATAATAATTTTATTATTTAGTAATTCTACTAATTTATTGGTCAAATTTAGTAATAAATCGTTATTTTTACTAAACTATTAGTTAAACTAAAAAATCGTTATTTCTACAAATTTATTAGTAAAATTCTCTAAAAAATAATTATTTCGACTGATTTATTAGTAAAATTTACTAATTCAAAAGCAAAAAAAAGTCAGTCTCTAACTCAAATTAGTGTAAACATTTTTATTAATTCAAATATAGAAAGTAGTTAAAAATGACTAATTATTTTAATAACTAACAGTAAAAATAACTAATAAAATATCAACCAATGAATAAATAAAATTTAACTATAATTAAATCAGTTTCCAAAAATTTTAGTTTTAGTTAAAAAAAAAGTAAATTTTTAAAGTAAATTTAAATTTTTACAATTTATTTAATTTACCACCGAAAATAGTAAACAAAATTCCCGCAAAAAATTACAGACAGTTTAGAATTTACAAAAATGGTAATAAAAATAAAAATTATCTTGCTTTTCGTGTAACTTGAAAAAATATTTCAATCTAAATAGAAAAATGTAAATATTCATTATACCAAATTTTCTTCCCATCGAATTATTGAATTAAGTAAGTACTTAAGCTATAAAAATGTATACTATTAAAAACTTTTTACTGTATCAACCAAAAAGAATATTTAAAAATTTTATATAGCACTTTAAGAAAATTAAAACAACATTAAGAGAATAATTTTTTATTAATAATTCGTCAGTTATATTTTTATTTATATAGTTATTTATTTTTTAAAAATATAAAATTGTCATTCATAAGAGAAATTTATGCGCTGAAACTTTTACAAACAATGAAACGAATTCATAAAATTGTAAGAACTCTATTTTCATTTCTAAAGTTTATTCTGTCTGCAGGAGAAGAAATGTTTTCTCGTAAAGTATGAAAAATTTGAATAATTGGAGAAAAAAAATTGACGAGTTCTTGATATATATATATATAATATACTAGATCACTGGAATTGTTTCAAAATTCAAGAATATTTTTTCTTTCACAAGTTCAATCTATTCATTAAAAAAAGGGGGGGGGGAATTTATTTTTTGTGCAATAGACATTTGCTCAAATTATAGGACATGATTAAATTTAAAACTTATGCCACAATCTTATAAATGTACCAATAACACAATGAAGAAGAGACTGAAAGTTAAAAATAATTTCCATATGTATTATTAAGAGGAACCTTAATCGAATTTATTGATTTAAGTTTCAAAAAATATAATTTTTAAAAATAAAATTTAATTTAAGAATATAAGATTTATTTAAACATCGAGAAATCAGTTTGAAATTAAAGGAACTTCATTTTCTTTTTATTCCGATTAAAAAAATTAATTCACAGTAAGAAAAATTTATTTGATTCAAATAAACAATTAGTTATCTATTATTAAATAAATAATTCCTTGAATCAAATAATTTTTACTTGAATTGAATAATTTTTACTTGAATCGAATAATTTTTACCTGAATCAAATAGTTTTCACTTTATTCGAATATTTATTTGATTCAAATAAATTTTATTTCAGTATAACTTTTTGAATTATTTTATGTAAAAAAAATTAAATGACATTCAAATTTCAAAGCAAAGCATAAATAAAAATGATAATTTTTTATAATAATGGAATTTTTTAGAAATAAATAGCAACTTATTGTATTTAAAAAGTATTTAAATTTTCAGTCAATAACATAATAAGTTTTAGTTAAATAAATATCAACGGTTGTGATTTAATATTTAGTTAACAATAATTGTAAATTTCCAAACTTATTTAATTGTAAATTATTTAGTATTTAATTTCAATTTATTTTAATTATTTAAATCTAATTTTCAAATTTACCCTGAAAATCATTTAAATTACGGCTAAATTTAAGGCAAAAAATTAAAAGAACACCGAATTAAAATTGTATATTAAAAAAATAGGATTATTTTCAAAAACCCTTTAGTCATCTTCCCCATTTTGTGTTCAACGAAAAAGAAATTTAAATTGTATTAAGAATATTGTAAAAAAAATCTTTTTTACATTATGGATAAAATGGATAAAATTAAAATCCACTAGTACCAAAAAAATTTTTTTTGTTATTAAATTTAAAACAATTAGTTTTTATAAGTTGTTAATTGTTTTAATCTAGTTGATGATATTAAAAACTGGGGAAAAACGCGTTTAAAAGAAAAAAATATGTAAATAGAATTAAAGAACTGTGTAAACACTATACAAAGACTATTAAATCAATAAAAAAAAAGAAGTCATATCTGTAGAATATTTGTTATCATTTAGAGTCCTATAAATTCCCATTAATGGCAAAAATTTACTGATCCTCATTGAATGGTGATATAAAATTTATTTATACAGGCAGTTATATAATAATTATTTTATCACTTGTCTAACAAATAGTATTTGTTAAATAAAATGTATACGACATTAATCGTACTGCATATTATTACGACGTTCGATATCCCGAATTTCAAGAATATCTGTTTTTAGATGTAATTTCATAATTTCCCTCCAAATATCCATTCTATGCTGCTGGTTATTGATTCCCAAACGAAGTAAAATATTCTCGTTTATTCTTAAAAGAGCTCTTCCGGTAATGTCATGCTAAAAGCACCAGAAAATTTCTTATTAAAAGCGAATTTTTTTTTTGAGGATTTTAAAGTTAAAATTAATTATTTTTTGTTTTTAAAAATTTTAATAATAACAAAAAATATATGAAGTAACTTTTAATATTGTTTTCGTACATAAATAGTAAAAGTTATTTAACATTTTTTTCGTTATAAATAAATTTAAGATTATTTTGACTTCTACATAAAATATTCCACATATTTTATTCATATTTATAAAATCCAATATTCTTAAAATACAAATCAAGTTCTTAAATTAAATATTTAAATTGTCTCATATTTTTAAAAATTGGACTCACAATTTAAATTATATAAATTGTTCCAAATTTTAAAAATAAAAATCAAATTCTTAAATAAAATAATTATAAATTTAATATTTTTAAAATATTGTATCCTAAAATTTTCAAGAATAAATTACATGGAATTTATTTATAAATAGAAGAGAGCAAAAAAATTCGAATTCTTTATAAATAAATCATGTGGAGAATTCAGTGAGAGTCAAGCAATAATACAACTCACGTATAAAAAATTTTCATGATACAATTGATAATAATCGCTGCAATGACGCCTTAACCATTTTTGTACATCCAAAACATTCCATAAATAAACAGGACGAGGTCTCGCTGTTTTCACCTAAAAAATTATAATTGCCCTCAACAATTAAACTAATCAAAGAAATAACTTAACGAATCAGAATATGTACTAAAATTCAATGTATATTTATAGAATACGAAACTAACCTTCGGCTTATTATTATTTGTATTCACAACTTCCTCAACCATATTTTTTTCCTAATAAAGAGATTTTCAACTTCTTGGATCTCTTGAAGACATAAACTAACAAAAAATGACCAAACCTAACAAAATAATGACCAAAATGTAAACAAAACTTTTAGGTTACAAAAATTAAAACCAAAAACATCATCACTGATCCAATGGATTAACAATCATTTCGAATTTTCGTAAAACTTGAACTCCAATTAACATTTCAGCTTTTGTAATTTTATTTTAAAAGTGCAAAATACAAGTTTAATAATTATATGTTGGATTATAAAAAGTAGTTTGTTTTGTTATGTTGAGAACTGTCAACAATAGGAAACAATGATCAAAAATTTGTTGAGAGGGAGAACAACCTGTTGTATTTTGTGTACGTGAAATATCAAATTGACAGACGTGAGATTAGACGAAATTTTTGTCCAGTTTATTCAAATTCATAAATAATCAATTAGAATTTATATTTATCTTTGATATTTATTAACTATTATTATTATTATTCATTCAAAAATTTATTTCTTAATTAAAATTTAATTTATTTAAAATTTATTCATAAAAATTTATTTACCCAGTGAGAAATTTCTCACCGGTCCAATATCGGTCCAATATTGGGAGCCAAGAGACCGATCATCGGTCCAATAAAGGCTCCCAATATTGGACCAATATGGGCTGATGCTTGGGATGTAACGGCATCGCCAATCATCGGTTGTCAATATTGGTCCAATATTGGCCGAATATTGGCAACCAAGAGAAAAAAATTTTTTTAAATAAATTTTTTTTAATTAAATAATAATAATAAAAAATTAATGTTTATAATTTTTGTTTAATATATTTATTTGTTTAATTATTTATCTTTAATAATTCATGTAAATAATAAATAATTTATTATTTATAAATTATAATTATTTAAAAATGCAGCAGCTATTAGAAAATAGCATTCTGCAAAAAAATTCTATCATTGAAAAATCAATGATAGGTGAGAGAAATCCGCGTCTTTAAATAGATTTGCAGATGATAGACAAGAGATATCCGCGTCATTAAACGGATTCGCAGATATACTCTGGTCTCGCGACGAATCTCTCGATACTTATATACACTGGAGTCGCCGTGTCAGTTGCGAGAACGGTTACAGCGTCCCTCTTGCGGCAGAGATAAGAATTGTCACGTAAACTGCGGGTATAATAAGGCGGTCAGTAAAGCGATTTAGCAGTTTACGTGACAATTCTTATCTCTGCCGCAAGAGGGACGCTGTAACCGTTCTCGCAACTGACACGGCGACTCCAGTGTATATAAGTATCGAGAGATTCGTCGCGAGACCAGAGTAAATCTGCGAATCCGTTTAATGACGCGGATATCTCTTGTCTATCATCTGCGAATCTATTTAAAGACGCGGATTTCTCTCGCCTATCATTGATTTTTCAATGATAGAATTTTTTTGCAGAATGCTATTTTCTAATAGCTGCTGCATTTTTAAATAATTATAATTTATAAATAATAAATTATTTATTATTTACATGAATTATTAAAAATAAATAATTAAACAAATAAATATATTAAACAAAAATTATAAACATTAATTTTTTATTATTATTATTTAATTAAAAAAAATTTATTTAAAAAAATTTTTTTCTCTTGGTTGCCAATATTCGGCCAATATTGGACCAATATTGACAACCGATGATTGGCGATGCCGTTACATCCCAAGCATCAGCCCATATTGGTCCAATATTGGGAGTCAATCGGCGCCCAGCACGGCAACCAATATTGGACCGATATTGGACCGATTAAAGTCTATTGGCAATTTCTCACTGGGTAACTTAAAAGATTTGTACTATAATCATAATAATAATTGTAAAAGGCAATATAATTAATGTAAAAAGTAATAATTAATATAAAACTTAGAATAACAATAACAATAATAATAATTAGTATAAAAATTAATATAACTTTTATAAAAATTATCACAATAATTGATATTGTAATTGTATAGCAAAATATAATGTATAAATAATTTTATAAAATTAAAAATAGACTTGAGAACAAAAATTTTCTAATTACACGACTTTGACCTGCCCTTAATTGTTTTCGTTAGAACCAAACGACCTTAAGATACGCCTTTGTCTGATTTAAAATAACCTAAGCGAAATTTATATTCGAAACAAATGTACAAACACCCTAACTAGGAATTTTAATTTTTTTTTAACGCAGTAAATCTCATTAAAGTCAATAATATAAATTTAATTTTTTAAATTCCTTGCAGATATTACCCCACTTTGTCATATATGTATAAAATAAAATTTTAACAAGGATTTACGTGGAAAAAATATTTTAAAAAAACTTTCCAGGCCTTTGTTAAATTCTTATTTCATGTATAGAATAAATTAGGAAATTTCTACACGAATTTTTCAATATATTTAATATTTTTTCAATTGTTGAAATTTTTTTAATTTAAAAAAAATGTTTTTCGTAAAGCTCATTAGCCATGTATAAATAAAAATATAGTTCAAATGAACACATTTTAAAACATATATAAAAAAAAAATAATTACAAAGCGAATGTTGTAAATCATCAGCAATTTATTATATATCGCGATTATTCTGTAAACAATTAATTATCCTTTAAAACGAATTTTTTTTATAATAAAATTGTTCTTTTAACTAAAACAAAGCTTTTACTTATTAATTTCCTAAATGTAAACTTAAATCGCAAATTTGCTAACCATTTTTATTTTTAAGTAAATACAAATTTTATTTCACAACAAATAATTTCCAAAATAAAATTTTTAAATTTAAAAAAAATTGTTTTCTATTATTTTTCTTTTAAATTATCGACTATAATATAAAAATATATTTGTTTATTGCACATGTAAAAATGAAAATTATAAAAATTATTATTATTTTTATTACTATTATCAATTATATTATTATTGTTATTATAGCATCCAGCTTCTCAATTATAATAATATAATAAATTGCACAAAAAGTATAGAAACATTTGATTTATTAAAGTTAATAAAAAGTAAACTTTAAAGTACAATCTCAAATTTCAAAAAAAAAAAATTTAATAAATTTTGAATTATTGTTTAATAATTGCTTTTTGAAAATATCTACTGTATTTTTTTGAATAGTTTATTTCATATAACAAAATAAAAATTTGTTTAACTAAAATTTCAAATATTTTAATTATATGGATAATAATAAATTGCTGATGATTTATGCAAAATAGAAAAATAAAATAAAATTGAGAAGAGAATAATAAGAAAATTCAAATTTGTCTCTTCATTGTTCGTACAAGTCCATACTGGTTCACATTTCAAATGTGAAATGGGGAATTTCATTTTCTACAATCTACACTTTGCTCCTTTGATTCAAAAATTTTAATTAAACAATCCGTGTATAAACGAAAATTTTTAATTAAAAAATTTTTCTAAATTAATCCAAATATTCTGTATGTAAATTATAATTTTTTTCTAAAAATTTAACTATCATTATTAATTTTTAACTAACGCTATTAATTGTAAGTCAAAACATTATTTATCGATAATATACTTTAATTATTAAATAAAATTTTCCAAAAAACATTTTACTTATAAAAATTTAAAGATTTGTTAAATAAATAAAATTAAAGAAACTTTCAAAATTCTAAAATTTAAATTAAGGGATTTTCCGTTGTGTGGCTCTCCATTTGTTTATACCAATAAAGCATGAAAACAGAGAATAAATGTTTGTCTTCGGTATTTAGTTACAAATTTTCAAGTATCACGTTAAATGAAAAAATTTTAAAAGCAGCAAAAACATTTAAACAATGTCAATTTAATAAAAAAAAATTTAATTACTGTTCAAATTTTTTTAACTTCTATTTCTATTATTTTTTAATTAAGAAAATATTAAATTGCAATAAAAAATATTTGCTAATTTTTAATTTTTCAATTGTAAATTTAATTGAATTTCATAATTTAATAATAACTATTCACATAATTATTAATTTATTTAAATTTAATTTTATGCTCCAAAAAATATTATCTATGTAATAATTAATTTAATGTTATGCTCCAAAAATATTTCAAAGACAAACGATTTCAAATAAATATATAAATACAAGTAAATATTGATACTAGAGAAATAAAAAATATCCACTCACTGAAAATAAATTATTTGTATATAATTTTTTGTCGCTTTGTAATTATGTATAAATTTTACTTCAAAAAACTTACTGATCACTCGTTATTTTATTTGTATGTACCTTTTTATCAACTCCGAATTTAGTAAATCCGTCCACTGCTCCTCCAGAAGTATGAATTTTATCCTCACTATTAACCTGAAACATAAAAAAAACGAAAAATGTTTCAAATTCGTTGCATTAAAAAAGATGTTTTTGTTTCAATTCTCGGAAAAACATGTCGAATATATATAGATATATTCACAACACATACTTTCACCTAATATTCCCAAGAACAAACACAAGTATTAATTATAATTCAAATCAAGAAAAAATGCCTTCATTTTATCGTCGCATTAAATATATTTAATATATTTATTACTAAAACTACTAAAAAATAATAAAAATCATGAAAAAAAGATGATTTCTTACCACACTTTCATCAACACTATTGCGGATTCCCTAATACTCCTGCATTCTCACTTTATCTCAAAATGATTTCTAATTTGTCTTAATTAAACAATTTATAAACACACTTTCATTATTTCATGACAAAAACTCTGGATTGAACAAATAAAAACTACTTTAGAATGAAATAAAAGCTCGATGTATGAACACTTTTTCGCACTTTGTCAATTGCAACAATGGCCGTTGCGCGCCTTCTTCTCCTAGTGATAAACGGTAGAGGGGGGAAAAGAAACTACGCATTCTGATTGGTGGACGGAAATAAACTAGCGCCATCTGCAGAATTTTCAGAGAAACTAATGGCGGTAACTTTTGAAATCTCTCACATTAAATTTAAGAAAATTTCACTTTGCAATATAAATGTAAAAGAAATTTATCTTCTTTACGATCAAATTTATAATTGTTTATAATTCTTTTTTAAAAATTCGAAATAATATACAAGAATTTAGTGATTGTAAACAGGATAAAAATTTGGGAATTTTTCTTGGAATTAGTTTAAAGTTGGTAATAGTAGAATTTGTACATACTGTCATGGCCGACAATATTCTGACTTCCTAACCTCTTTTGTTCATATTTCACGCCTTTATGCTTATTTACATTGTTTCTATTTATTGAAAGTAATAAATTATGTGGCAAAAATGGTCTTATAAAATCGACAAATTATGAAGAAAAAGAATTTAAACTGTTGTGTGAAATATAAAACTTTTATGTAATATATGTTGCTTGAATAAGTTTTGGATAATATTTGGTTTTCATTTTTGGAAATTGAAATAAAATACCTGAAATACATAACATAATTTATCGTGGAAGGTTACAAATAACTATGGTATGTATTTATTAAAAATATTTAATTACCCATTGTAAAAATATAGATTTTTTACTTCGTTTACAGTATTTTTGTGTTACTTTTGTTTTTTATTTCAATTTTTGTATTTACTCGTTTAATAAATTCTATTGTTAATATCGTTAATATATTCATCATTAATATTTAAATAAGTATTAAATTATTATATTATACTTTGTTCTACATTTAAGAATTTCCAATTAAAAATTGTAGAATTAATATTTAATATTTGTCCTAATTTATCGCATTTTGTTAATTTATATATTTTTATTACAGATATAAATTTATATATTTTACGTACAAAAATGGATTATGCTCATAATTATTGTCTGCCTTATGGCTCGATTCAGAATCAATCAACAAAAGGTATTTTTTATATTTTATAATTAATCAATTGTTTCCATTATTAAAATCGAGATTAAAATTAATGAAAGAAAATTCAAATAGAAAATTTCTTTTTGTCGAATATAAAATAGTTAACATAATTTAATTAAATTATAATTAAAATTATAAATAGTTTGAAAATAAAGGATATTTCTTAATTTCAATTATAATTCGATACAAGTTTTTTAATTTTTAAAAAGATTATGAAATGCAGCGAATAAATTAAAAAAAACTTTTGCAGATTCTTCAAATAAACAGAATGTAAAAGAAATCTGTAGACTCTGTGGGGAAAAAAGTGAAAATTGTATACCTATTTTTGAAAATAAATTTTCAATTGCCGAAAAAATAAGTAGATGTCTGCCAATAGTGGTAAATATAATTTTCAAGTATCTAAATGATTTAAATTCTTAAAACGAATTTAAAAAAAAATATAATATTTCTATTTTTCAGGTTCTTGTCAATGACAATTTACCACCTCAAATTTGTAAACGTTGTCTAACGTATTTAAATATTAGTTACAAATTAATTGTGAATTCCCTCAGAATTGATGAGCAACTTCGTAAACAATTGCAGGACAATAAAGAAGAGAATAAATTGAGTTGTTCAAAGGAAAAAAATGAAACTTCTTATACAGTGCCTTTGAAAAAATTAAAAAAGTCCGCAATTCTCGGTCCAGTGACCTGTGAATTTTGCGACATGATATTCACAGACGTCAATGAATTTGATGCACATTTCGAAGAGAATCATATTTTAAAATGGAAATGTAACTTTTGTGATTCAAGTTATGAAACATCGGAAGAATTAATCGATCATAAAACGAAACAACATTCGGGGAATATTATAATTTGTAAGACATGTGTTGACGAGGAGGACGCCGAGGAAAGACAATTGAAACAAGAAACAAAGGACAGGGACATATCTTCCGGTGAAGAATGTGAAGATAAATTTTATATCCCCCCTGAAATTGTTGCAAAAAACCCCATCCATATCGATTTACCGCAACCTAATCAATCACCAATTTCCGATTATTCCGACAATTTTAATTTAGACTCAGAAAACATTCCATTTATTGATGACGAAACAACTAATTTAAATGAAGAAAACGAGTCGAATGAAAAATCTCAGTCCAATGAAAAATCTCAGGCCAATGAAAAATCAAAACAATTACCATCGTCATCAATATCAAGTGCATTGCAAATAAATGAAAATATTGCAAGTAAAATTGAATTATTTCTCTGTGCTGTCTGCCATCTTCAAGTGAAGGATCCAAAACTTTTTGAACTTCATAAAAAAATTCATTTACCAAGAGTTATGATTTGCGTTCATTGTAAACATGAATCACAAACTATTTACGATCTCTATTTACATAAAAAGGAGGCTCACAATTTATATTCAAAAGTCAATCTAAAATATGTTTGCGAAATGTGCGGAAGATTCTTTTCCAGTAGTTGGGAATGGGAGGTGCATAAAACACGAAGATGCAGAAATCGAGAAGGAAATAAATGTAAATATTGCGAGGCCGCCTTCTCAACAAATCACAAACTCAAAAAACATTTAAGAGTAAGATTTAAATTTAATATTTAGTCTATTAATGCGAGTTTTTTTTCCCTAATTAAATAACGAATATTGATTCTTTTTTCTAGAAACATAAACAAGAGATGTTCAGCGATCCAACTGTAAAAATTTTCAAATGTGTCTCGTGTCCGAAAATATTTGTCGACGAGGAATTTTACCAAAAACACAGAAATGTGAGTTTAAAATTACAATTTTTAAACTATTTTACTGAAAATATTTTGATGTACATAATATTATTTTAATTAGGTCCACGATCCAGAATGTTGGAATAATTTTAAATGCGAAATATGCAGTCGATCATTTCGTGATAATGTGAGACTAAAAGAACACATGAAATCAATTCACGAAGGAGTTAAACCACATACTTGTGATGTGTGTGGCAAATCTTTTCATCGTTTATCAAACATGGTGAGTTAATTAAGAAGTTAATAAGCAGGGTTGCCACAGGTCAGGGAAAAGTCAGGGATTTTTATTAAAATATTATTCACATACGTTATTAAATTTCAAAAGGTTTGAATATTTTGCAGGGTCAGGGAAAAAGTCAAAATTTTGTCTGGAAAACAGGGAAAAATAAAATAAAATTTTTGTAGCAACCCTGATAAGTTAATAAGAAATTAAAAAAAAAAATATTATTAAATCTTTTCTTTAATCTAACAGAAAGCGCATCGTGCACTACATTTTGGTCACAAATGTCCTCATTGTGAGCAGAATTTCGAAAAAATACGACAATTGGTTACTCACATTCAGGAAGATCATGGTTTAGAACCGCCAGCAAATTTATTAACGAAAAAAGGATACGTGACTGGAACTTTTGTTTGTAAATTTTGTGGAAGAACTCTATCGACATATCAATCATTACTGGATCACGAACACATTCATACGGGAGAAAAACCATATCCCTGCGAGATTTGTGATAAAAGTTTTAGGTATTCTATTCAAATTTGCCAATAATAATCTATATTAATAATCAAAAATAAAATGTGATTAAACATTTTTTAAATATGAATTTTTGAAAAATCTTGTTTTGAAATTTCAGGAGTTACACAGCGCGTTGGTCACATATGCAAAGACATAAAGAAGGCAATTTTATATGCGAGCAGTGTGGAAAGTCTTTCAAGTATGAAATTTTATTACTCTCGAAATAAAGATATAAGTTAATAACAAAAAAATTACATTTTTGTAAAAAAAAAAATATTTTACATTAATTAAAGGAAAGAAAAGAAAATTTTTCCTTTACGAAAATAGTAAAATATTTTTTTTATCATACAAATTTGTAGTTTTCGAATTATTGATCAAAGAACTATTTTTTTATACAAAAATATATAGAAAAATATTTTTTTTTCTAAAAAGTTGATTTTAACATTGTAAATTTCACGAAAGTAGTAAATTTGGTATTATTTATTAAATATTAAATTTAATTTTATCTGATTTTATATTTAATAAATTTATACTAAATTTTCAATTTCTATATTAACATTTTTATTTTTAATTGCAGTTATAAGCAAAATTTGATGACTCATGTGCAAATTCACGTTTCTATGGAGGACAGAAAACATCCTTGTCCAACATGCAATAAAAGATTTTTACGAAAGGCGCATCTAAATGTACACATGCGAATTCATGAAGGAATTCGTCCTTATACGTGCGATATTTGCAATTTCAGTTTTACACAAGTTGGTGACATGAGGCGTCATCGAGCACGTCACGGGAATGGAGAAATTGTCAAACGACAACCACGAATTAGAGTCGAAAATTTGAAATACATTTCCGAATACAGCAATGAAGATACAAATTAATTTTTCACACGCAGTATTCTACTTTCGCGATAAAAAAAAATCAAAATTAAAAATTAAACTACATAATTGGGTAATCAGTTAAAATAATTGAACTAATTGCTGTCAAACTTTAACATCTAATTGTCAGAAGAAAATTCTGACCTATTAATTTCTTTTTCCATTAAATGTTTGTATTATGTCGACTGTATTTTAATGTTTATTTTGATCAATATTCAAATTTATAATTTAATTTTTTGATAGTATAATCATGGCAAACATTACTAATAGACAATTTATTTATACATTAACTATCATCCAAATTAAAATGGAATATAATGTTGAATATAAAAATTGTCACAAATTTTTACGTATTAAAAAGTAAAAATAAAATTATTTTTAAAAAGTAACTTTCAACTGGAATTTATATCATAAAAAAATAATTATTTTAAAAAAAATAAGTAAACATTTGATAAAAGTTTCGAAATAGTTTCTTTAGTAACTTCGGAATATTAAAGAAAAAAATAGTAATTTGAATATTTTTATATTATAATATAATGTAAAATAATATAATATAATATAATAATAATTATAAATAATGTTCGGAACCTTTTTCACTGTGACATAAGACAATGTGTTAAGATTAGACAAAAGTCATTTCGTAAAAAATAGGTTTGCAATAAAATTATTATTACCCACGACACAGAAACGAAAGACAATCGTTTCAAATTTTATTTAACTTAAAAAATAAAGCACGTACATGCTTTAACTTAAAAATTTTATGATTGATTTTATGTAGTACTCATAAAAAGTATCTCTTATTGAAAAAAATTGTTCCTTCAATAATTTTTTTAAACTATTAGTAATTGTCAGTCTGTCATAGACAATATTTAAGTTCATTATAAAATATTCTTTAAACATTTAAATATTTTATGTTCATCCTATGATGAAGAAATTAAAAAATTATAAATTCTCCAAACCTAGAGGAATAAAAATATTGCTAGTATATTCAATAGTAGTAACTTGTCTATTAATTTTAAAAACGCAGAATTCAGGTGAGAATAATTTTTCTAAACATATGTAATATTTTACCGAAAGTGAAAATAATTATAAATTACCTCCAATAATAAGCAAACGAAATTTTTGTTATTAATTAATAAGCTATTTCTTTTATAGGAAATGATGTTGAAGCAGAGATTAATTCGATGATAGAAAAACCTAAGTACCTGATTAATAAAAAAGGATGTCAAATTCCAGCTATGGACCCTCATGATGAGACAATAAAGAAATACATAAAAATCGCTAAGGCAATAAAATGCAAAAATGAAAACTATTCATCGCTTATAGAATCAAATAATACTGCAATTTTCATTAATTATAAATCAAAAGAGCTTTATTATAATAAGACTACAGCCGATTGTTGTTGGAAAAAATTTTGGCGAAATGAAAACGATGACAATTCTTACACGTGAGTAATAAAAACTTTATTCTATTATTTAAAAAAATATTTAATAAAATTCTACGCAAAACTTTAATTATTTTCAAAAAATAATAAAAATTTCACAGAAATTCAATTATTTATAATTTTTTTTTATAAATTTCTTCGCATTAAGTCAATTATTTTCATAAATAATAAAGTTTTTATAGGGAATCAATTATTTTCGTAAAGAATAAAAATCAAAATTTCAATTATCATTAGAAATAATTAAATTCATCTCCGAAATTCTATTATTTTCAAAAATTAATAAAATTCTTGGCAAAATTTCAATTATTTTCAGTGATTTTTAATATCTACTATTTTAATAAAATTTTCCATAATAATTTAATTATTTAAAAAAATCTTAATAAAATTCTACTCAAACCTTTAATTATATTTTCATAAAATAATAAAAATTTCACAGAAATTCAGTTATTTACGAATTTACGAATTCAATTATTTACGTTAAGAATAAAATTCTTTTCTGGAATTCAATTATTTTCATAAATAATAAAACTCATTGCAGAATTTCAATTATTTTTAATACAATTTCAATCGAATTCCCCGAAAAATGTAATTATTCTTAAAAATTTTATTAAAATTCGTAAAAACAAATGCAATTATTTAAAAATTTTTTGATAATATTCTCTATGAGAATAATTTTAAGAAACATGTCATTATTCAATAAATTGTTTTTTTGTATTTAAATAATTAAATTCTAGTAGAATTTTCTAATAAAAATTAATTCAAAAATTGATTTCAGTTATAATTTCCGATTATAAATGGATATTAAAAGCATTTGAGCGTGAATTTTTAGAAATAATTCAATTTTGAAAAGGTTTCAAATTAAAATCTTTGACAATATGAATTTTTCATATTTTTAACAAACAATTCTGTAGAATTAATTTTTTTTTAAAGTTTCATTGCGGTTTTTTTTTAAATTATTACAAGTTTTTATTTTCTAATATATATTTAATTAAAGAATTTACAAATATTTCAAATTTTATAAAATTGAATTGTAAACAAATGAATTGTAAAATTCTCAAAGAACTTTTTCAAAAATTATTAAAAATAATGCATTTATAGAGGAATTTTAGTTAAAAACAAGAAAAAAATTTTTAATTTTGGAATAGTTTCAAATTATGTTAGAAATTATTTTCGAGAGTAATAATATTCTTCGCAAAAATTAAGTATTGTTCAAAAATAATAAAATTCTTCTTAGGGATTCAATTATTTTAACAAATAATAAAACTCATCTCAGAATTTCAATTATTTTTAATACAATTTTTATCGAACTTCTCGAAAAATGTAATTATTCTTAAAAAATTTATTAAAATTCGTCGAAAGAGTTTAATTTATTATTTAAAAATTTGTTGATATTCTTTATGAGTATTGAATTTTAAGAAACATTCAATTATTAAATAAATTGTTTATCTTTGCAATTAAATAATTGAATTCTCGTAGAATTTTCCAATGAAAATTGATTCAAAAATGAATTTCAGTTAAATTTATAGATAATATGTAATTGAAATTTTACAAAATTGAATTGGAAACAAATGAATTTGGAAATTTTTAAAGAAATTTTTCGAAAATTATTATACATAATGGATTTATAGAAGAAATTGAGTTATAAACAGTAAAAAATAAAATTTTTATTTTAGAGAAGTTACAAACTTATTGTAGAAATTTAATTATTTTCAAGAGGAATTAAATTCTTAAAAAGAAATTTAAGTATGTTTAAAAATATTAAAATACTATATGAGAATTGAATTTTAAGAAACATTCAATAAATCATTTATTTTTATATTTAAATAATTGAATTCTAGTAGAATTTTCTAACAAAAATTGATTTAAAAATAACTTTTTCGAAAATTAATTGCTTTAATGAAGAATTTTAGTTAAAAATTCTTAAAAATAATAATTGAATTGAAATGATGAAAATAATTTTGAAGAAGTACAATTTTTCAGTTTTGGTCCGTGAAGTCCGTATTTTTAAATACTTTCACAAGTTCGAGTCCCGCATAATCAAAAAAGCAATAATATTTAAATTGAATTCTTTTAATTTCAGATTTGAAGAAGAATGTCACAAATTTGAAAATTCAGTAGATATTTTAGACGAATTCGTTAAAGTCGAGTGCTCGAGAAATAATGAGACTATCTATCTAGACTATCACGCATTTCTGCCCAGAAAATCAAAAGTCGAGGAAAGAATCGAAAAAGTGATGAAAAATCGAGAAAAGAATCATCTTAGTCTTTTAATTATAGGATTGGATTCTGTATCCAGACTCAATTATCATCGAATGATGCCAAAAAGTGTAAAAGCCCTTCAAGATCTCGGCGCGGTGGAAATGCTCGGCTACAATAAAGTTGGTGAAAATACTTATCCGAATCTAGTGCCAGTTCTAACTGGTCTCTCCAGTGAGGAAGTCGAAAAAACTTGTTGGAAATCAAAAAACAGTCCATTTGACTCATGTCCCTTTATATGGAAGAATTTCAGTTCAGCCGGTTATCGAACAATTTTCGCTGAAGATGCCTGTAATATTGCGACATTTAATTACCTAAAGCCAGGATTTCATGTTCAGCCCACAGATTACTATCTTCGACCTTTTTGCATCGCTGCCGAAAAGGAAATTGGAAACAATCACGAATTAAATACAAATCTCTGTCTGGGTGCTAGAAAAAATTTCCAAGTTCTCCTCCAGTATTCCTATAAAACAGCCGTTGAATTCAAGGACGATCCTTATTTTGCATTCTTCTGGCAAACAAGTCTGACGCATGAGTTTTTGGAAAATGGCCAAATAGGTGATGTTCCCTACAGTGAATTTTTCCTTAATCTGAAAAAAAATAATCTTCTTGAGAATACGGCTTTAGTCGTAATGAGTGATCACGGTTCTAGATTTGGACCGTTTCGAGAGACTTATCAAGGCCAAGTTGAAGACAGTTTACCATTTGTTTTTCTCGTATTACCCGAATGGTGGAAAGAAAAATTCCCCACCGCCTGGATGAATTTGGAAAGAAATGCCAAAAGTTTAACAACAGCTTACGATCTTCATGAAACATTAATGGATTTAAATATCCAGGAATTAACAGAAGAAATAATAAAGGAAAGAGAAAGACGAATTTTTGAGAAAAAAACCAGAGGAATCAGTTGGTTTCTTCCAATTCCAGATTATCGAACATGTTCAATGGCAGGAATTCCAGATCACTGGTGCATGTGTCACAGCTTTAATAATGTATCTCTAACTGATTTAAATGTTCAAAATAGCGCAAATTTTTCCATTCAGGAAATAAATCGAATGCTTGCTAATTATTCCCAATGTGCGAATTTAAAATTAAAAAGAGTACTTGGTGCGACGATGTTGACGCAAAATGGAACACTACAAGTTGATGAGAAAATAAAAAACATTTCCCTCTTGCCTATTTTAAATTTAAAGATTACGTTAGAAACGGAACCAGGTAATGCAATATTTGAGATATCGGTTAGACAAAATAGCAATGGACAAAAAATGCAATTAACTGGAAGTTTAGGTAGATTAAATGCCTATGGAAATGATAGCGCTTGTATTGATGATTACAATCTACGCATGATTTGTTATTGCAAAAAGATAAATTAAAATTTTTTTAACAAATCTAAATTAAAATGGATTATAATGTTCATTATAAAAATTGGCACTTTTTAAGTATTAAAAAGTAAAAATAAAATGATTTTTAAAAAGTCTTATTCTTAGCTTTCAACTATAATTTATATCATAAAAAAATTATCGTTTTAAAAATTTTGCTTTTAACAGTAATAAGTAAACAGTTGATAAAAAGTTTTGTAGTAACTTCGGAATAGTAAGGAAAATGATAGTAATTTGGAAATTATCGATAAGAAACTTTTTTTATTTTGACATAACACAATGTGTTAGATTAGACAAAAGTCAATATTATCATTTTATTCTAGCATAAATTTTTAAGTCAGTTTATTTGAAATCAATATCTAAGGTCTATTAAAGAGATTTAAAGATAATTACAGATCATGGAAAACACAGAGATTTTTATTTAAAGTACTGGAAAAATTTGAATTTTGGAGAAGTTACAAATAATTGCAGAAATTAAATTATTTTCAAAAGTATAATAAAATTCTTTGCAGAAATTCAATTATTTTAAACAATTTTTTTAAATTCTCGTCGGAATATCAATTATCTTTAAAAATAATAAAATTCTTCTCTAAAATTCATTTATTTTCAAAAATTTTCATAAAATTCTTGACAAAGTTTCAATTATTTTTAAAAATTTTCCTCAATTCAATGATTTTCAATAAATATCTACTATTTTTAATAAAATTTCTCGAAAAAATTCAATTATTTGAAAAAAAATGTTGATAAAATTCTAAGCAAACATTAAATTATTTTCATAAATAATAAAAATTTCACAGGAAGTCAACTGTTTACAAATCTTTTACAAATTTCTTTAATTATTTTCATAAATAATAACACTCATAATAGAATTTCAATTATTTTTAATACAATTTAAATTTAATTTCTCGAAAAATGTAATTATTCTTAAAAATTTTATTAAAATTTGTCAAAAGAATTCAATTATTAAAAAATTTGTTAATAAAATTCTTTATGGGAATACAATTTTAAGAAACATTCAATAAATTATTTATTTTTTTATTTGAAGATTTAAATTCTCTCCGAATATTCTAATAAAAAATGATTTAAAAATGAATTACAGTTAAAATTTTAGATAATAATTGAATATTAAAAGCATTATAATGTGAATTTTTAGAAATAATTTAATTTTGACAAGATTTCAAATTAAAATTTTTGAAAATTCGAATTATTCAAACTTAACGGACAATTTTGGAGAATTAATTTTTTTGAAAAAGTCTGATTTAATTTTTTTGATAATTTCAAGTTTTTATTTTCTAAACATTTAATTGAAGAATGTCTGAAGAATCGAAATTTCGTAAAATTGAATTATAAACAAATGAATTTGAAAATACTCAAGAAATTTTTGCAAAAATTATTAAAAATAATTGATAATTGAATTCTTTCGAAGAATTTTAATAAAATTTTTGAAAATAATTACATTTTTTGAAGAATTTACTTAAATTAGTATTAAAAATAATTGAAATCCTGTGAAAAATTTTATTTTTTAGGAAAATGATTGAATTCTTGCAAAGAATTTAATTAAATCTTTATTAAACAATTGAATTCTTGTAAAGAATTTTATTATTTATGAAAATAATATAATTCTTGCAACGAATTTTGTTACTATTGAGATTATTTATCAATTTTGCTTTCTTTAAAAAGAAAGAAAACACTATTAAGTATGAGACGAATTTTATAACTAAATAAGAAAAATCCTGAAGTGTGAGAATTTATAAAGATAATAAAAAATGTTTTTAAAATTGTCACGAAATATTAAGCCCGTTATTCATTTCCCGATAAGTATCTGATGATAAATTTATTTCAAGTTATTTCTTATGGCTATCTGACAAAAATTAACTGTAAGTTCGATCAATTATGGCTAAGCAAAAGTATTTCAATTTAGTCAGGGATTTTCTACTCTGTTGATAAAAAATTTGATAAATATTTCAGAAGTTCGTGCTTGAATTTAAAATTATTTAACGTACACAAACTTATATTATCAAATTATGATTTCAATTTAATATTTTTGTATTCATTTATATATTTGGTGTGATATAAATATTTATAAATATTTACATACACATAAAAATTTGCAAAACATTACTTACAACTGTAATGAAAAATGCATTTATAAAATGAAACGTTAAGATTTCATAAATTAGTAGTAAATTTGTCTTTTGTTATATAGTTATTAGTGAGTAAAACTCACTAAAATTAATATTAAAAAAATGTTGACAATGAAACAGATTAAAAATTGTAAATTTTTAATAAAATCTATTACAGTAATGATATTACTAGTGTATTCAATTTTAATTACTTTTATTTTAATTTCGCGAGTGTTTGGAAAAAGTAAATTAAATATTTTTATCGACAATGATTTCTTTCAAGGTATGTAATGGTTTTTTATGGTTATTTATGTCTGAATTTATTTATTCATTGTTTACTTCTCTTTATACTGGAAGATTAACTTTTTACTCTCAATTCTAAAAATTGATAAAAAATATAAACACTATTCACTTTAATTAAATGTTTTATAGAAGCTGAAGCTAAATTACGGGTCGATTTTTTAATTAGTAAAAATTCAGGCTATCTGGTGCAAAATAAAGGATGTCAAATTCCAGCTATGGACCCTCATGATCATACAATTAAGAAATACATAAAAATCGCTAAGCCAATAAAATGCAAAAATGAAAACTATTCATCGCTTATAGAATCAAATAATACTGCAATTTTCATTAATTATAAATCAAAAGAGCTTTATTATAATAAGACTAAAGCCGATTGTTGTTGGCAAAAATTTTGGCGAAATGAAAACAATGACTATTCTTACACGTGAGTAATAAAAACTTTATTCAAAAAGGGAAATTGACTTCGGAATCGAAATAGCAATAATATTTAAATTGAATTCTTTTAATTTCAGATTTGAAGAAGAATGTCACAAATTTGAAAATTCAGTAGATATTTTAGACGAATTCGTTAAAGTCGAGTGCTCGAGAAATAATGAGACTATCTATCAAGACTATCACGCATTTCTGCCCAGAAAATCAAAAGTCGAGGAAAGAATCGAAAAAGTGATGAAAAATCGAGAAAAGAATCATCTTAGTCTTTTAATTATAGGATTGGATTCTGTATCCAGACTCAATTTTCATCGAATGATGCCAAAAAGTGTAAAAGCCCTTCAAGATCTCGGCGCTGTGGAAATGCTCGGCTACAATAAAGTTGGTGAAAATACTTATCCGAATCTAGTGCCAGTTCTAACTGGTCTCTCCAGTGAGGAAGTCGAAAAAACTTGTTGGAAATCAAAAGACAGTCCATTTGACTCATGTCCTTTTATATGGAAAAATTTCAGTTCAGCTGGTTATCGAACAATTTTCGCCGAAGATGCCTGTTCCATTACAACCTTTAATTATCTAAAGCCAGGATTTCATGTTCAGCCCACAGATTACTATCTCCGACCTTTTTGCATCGCTGCCGAAAATGAAATTGGAAACAATCACGAATTGAATACAAATCTCTGTCTAGGTGCTAGAAAAAATTTCCAAGTTCTCCTCCAGTATTCCTATAAAACAGCCGTTGAATTCAAGAACGATCCATATTTTGCATTCTTCTGGCAAACAAGTCTGACGCATGACTATCTGGAAAAAGCACAATTAGGCGATGATTCATATAGTGAATTGATAAGTAACCTAAAGAAAAATAATCTGTTGGAAAAAACGGCATTAATTGTAATGAGTGATCATGGAATAAGATGGGGATCATTCAGACAGACATATCAAGGCAGAGTTGAGGACAGTTTACCATTTGTTTTTCTCGTATTACCCGAATGGTGGAAAGAAAAATTCCCCTCCGCCTGGGTGAATTTGAGAAGAAATGCCAAAAGTTTAACAACAGCTTACGATCTTCATGAAACATTAATGGATTTAAATACCCAGGAATTAACAGAAGAAAAAAAAAAGGAAAGAGAAAGACGAATTTTCGAGAAAAATACCAGAGGAATCAGTTGGTTCCTTCCAATTCCAGATTTTCGAACATGTTCAATGGCTGGAATTCCCGAACATTGGTGCATGTGTCACGGCAATAAGAAAGTATCTCTAAATAATTCAAATGTACAAAATACCGCAATATTTCTCGTTCAAGAACTGAATCGAATGCTCGGAAAATTTCCCCAATGTGCTAATTTGAAACTAAAACATATAATTGATGCGACAATGTTGACAAATGAGGAAAAATTATCGAGTAATGAGACGAAAAAGAAGGAAATACCGCAGTCTTGGTTTGACTATACAATAACTTTAGAAACAGAACCAGGTAATGCTATTTTTGAGGGTTCCATTAGATACAGAAATAAAAATAAAAATATGCAATTAACTGGAGCGATTAGCAGATTAAATTCTTATGGTAAACAAAGTGCATGCATTAATGATTATCAAATGCGTTTGTATTGTTATTGCACATAATGCACTTGTTTCATATTTCTATATAAAAGAAACCAAAAATGTTTAATTATAAGTTGTTTCAAATTAAAGAATAATTAAAAATCGACAAAAGATTTAAAAACATTTTTAAATTGTAATAAATGTCAAACTTTTCATATTCAAATTATACATTTAACGACGAATACAATATTTATAAATTAGTTAAAGCAGTAATATAGATTTTACCGATTAAAGTATTAATTTCCAATTTTTTTAGTATAAGAAAAATATAATTGTTTGTCAAGAAAAATAAAAATTAAGAAAAAAGTGACCTAACCTCAAATAATCCTTCTCCGTATCCATTTACTTAGCTTCTTAATTTTTTCTCGTCTACATTACTTTTAGTGAATATTATCACTAAATAGACAAAGATTGTTGCAATTTTTAAAGAAAAATAATATTATAGAATAAAATAAAACGAATAAAACGTAAAAAAAACAAATTCACCGTACTTTGGGACTCCGACATGTTTTCATTGAAATGGTCATGATTTTTAATTCCTGGAAACTCTGTTATTACTGAGACATATAACTTTTTTCATATTTATACTATTTACAACATTTTCGCACATTTTGCAATTGTTTGTTTATACTTTTTTTCAAAAATGTTTGATAACATTTCACCTACATAACAGATGATCAGCCATCTTGATCAGTGATGCCAACTTTGCCAGACTTACCAGTATTGCCAACCTCTATTTTTGGACAATGAAACAGACTAAAAATATTGTCCAGCCAATCAAATTCAAGAATTTTCTGGTGAAAAACCACTAAAATATTTTTAGGTACTTTTAAACTAACCTAAAAATTACGAAATTGACAGATGTCATGACAACAATAGTGCCATAATAAATTAATTTTTTTTTAAGTAGAAAAAATATAGTCAAAATGAACATTAATTAGTGATATTATTAGCCGGATAATTAACATCTAGAGGAAAATTGCAATTTCATTAAAAATGAATTAAAAGTCAGAAATTAGGAATGATTCGAAATGTCAATACCATAACAGTTCTATAGGTAAAATGCTTATTTTTAACACTTGTTAATTAATTATTAATTTATTTAAAATGTAGTATTTTAAATAAATTTCTTTCTAAATATATTTCTGAATTAAATTATTCAGATTCGAAATTAAACTCTAATATTTCCTTCTTTTTATAGCTCTCTAGAAACAATCACAATGGTGATTGTAACACGATTTTCGCAAAAATTAAATCGCTCCTCAATTCATCAAAATAATGGCATAATTATTTTATGTTCAGTGTTATTTTTATGTATTCTAATTATCAGCGCCTATCATGTCTTTCAAATTGGAAATAGACAACAAACAACAGTTTACCAGCCATTGGTATTAAACGATTTAAATGCATTGCCAACGAAAATATTGGGCAGAGATTTGCCCGAAGCCGAAGTAACGAATTCTACCTGTAATTATTTTGGTTGTTTTAATTTATATCGATGTGGAACTCAAGGTAATAAACTTTCGGTTTATGTTTATCCACCGAAAATTTATCTTGATCATGAAGATCGTCCAGTTACAAGTCAAATGACAAGGGAGTTTTATCAAATTTTATATGCAATTACAACAAGTAAATTTTACACTCCAAATCCTCATGAGGCTTGTATTTTTGTTCCTTCAATTGATACGTTGAATCAAAACAGATTGAAATTACGACAAGTCTCACAGACTCTTCATTCTCTTGAATTGTAAGAAAAAGAGAATTTTTATTTTACAGGTTTTTTTCAATTTACAATTTTCTAATGGAAATTATAATATTTTTCAGTTGGGAGAGAGGAGAAAATCATTTATTATTCAATATGATATCGGGAAGTGTTCCGGATTTTAAATCAGTGCTTGATGTCTCAATTGGAAGGGCAATGATCGCTGGTGCTGGATTTTCCACTTGGACTCATCGTCGTGGATTCGATATTAGTTTACCAGTTTATAGTCCTCTGGTAGAAAATATAAAACGAAATTTCTCAATAACGAGGTAAATTTTCGAATTTTAGTTTCAAAACTCAAGCTTCGTACTTATCTACTAAAACAATTCAAAATTTTTTTGCAAGAATTCAATTATTTTCAAAAATAAGTAAATTCTTCGTTGAAATTCAAATATTTTCAAAATCTACAATTTTAATAAAATTTCTTAAAAGAATTCAATTATTTAAAAAAAAATTAATGAAATTTCCACAGGAAAAATTTAACAGAAAATTACTTTTAATATTTTTAATAAGATTCTTCTCTTTTAGAAAATGGTTAGTTATGACTGCACAAATTAACATTAATTCTGCCTTTGAGCAAGATTTATTAGAAATTAAGGCTGCGCATCCAAAGGAACTTTTAATTCTCGGTCCATGTTTACATCACAATCCAATGAACAATTCAATTCGCTGTGTTGAAGATCAAGTTTATAAATATCCTGATATTTTGCAGGTCATTTTCTTTCAATTTTATTATCATTATGTATTTTTAAAATTATTTATTACTATTATTATTATTATTAATTAATTAATTAATTAATTAATTAATTAATTAATTATAAATTGTCAATTGAAGAGATTCTAATTCAAATTAATTAATTATGTTTTCCAAGCAGATGTCAAATTTTTGCTTAATAATTCGAGGAGCTAGGCTCGGTCAAAGTGCCTTTTTGGAGTCGATGGCTGCAGGATGTATTCCTGTAATAATTTCCGATTTATTAGTGATGCCATTTCAAGAAGTTATCGATTGGAAGAGGTAATGATGATAATTATTATTAAATTTATCTCTTTCTTCTTCTTTTTGTGTTTTTTTTCTATAAAATATATAAAAAAACTAAATCGAGTTTTTATCTATTTTACAGAGCTGCGATATTTGTGAGAGAAGTTGATATTCTAATGGTCGTATCAACATTAAAGAAAATATCCGAGAAGCGAATAATCGAATTGAGAAATCAAGTTTCTTGGCTTTATAAAAAATATTTCGTATCCATGGGAAAAATTACAGAAACCACATTGGAAATTCTTTCCGATCGTGTATTTCCACATCTTGCGAGAGATTATAATTTTTGGAATGTTCCCAAACATTTGGTAAGTTATCACATAATTTATAATTATCATTTTACTATATTTATCATTTTTCTGTATTCAGAAATATTCATTTTATTTAAAATTAATTTACAATTTTTAAATCAATTTTCACAAAAAATATTTCAGAACAATAAGTCACCATTATTTTTGCCCGTTACGGCGCCGAAAATTCGTGGTTTCACTGCTGTTATTTTGACATATGACAGATTGGAACTTCTCTTTTCGTTAATTAATAAACTCGTCAAGGTGCCGAGTCTGTCAAAAGTTCTTGTCATTTGGAATAATCAAAACAAAGATCCTCCGCCTTGTAAGAATATCTAAATACGAAATATATTTTCTGTCTTCTATTATTATTTTTATTATTAAAAATTGTTTTCAATTTTTATTATTGAAAATTGCCTTCAATTTTTAAATAAAGAAAAATTGTTTTCAATTTTTATTATTAAAAATTGTCTTCAATATTTAAATAAAGAAAAATTCTCTGTTTCTTCTCTAGCTTCAGCTTGGCCGAAACTTTTGAAACCATTAAAAGTGATTCGCACAAAGGAGAATAAATTATCGAATCGATTTTATCCGTACGATGAAATTGAAACTGAGGCTATTTTATCAATTGACGATGATATTATTATGTTGACCGCCGATGAGGTTGAATTTGCTTTTGAGGTAATTATAGAATATGTTAGAAACAATCGTAATAAATTAAAAAAATTTCCAACTATAATTATTCAGTGATTTTTCGATAGATTATTAAAATATTTTCTGAATTTTTTACTTATAGGTTTGGCGAGAATTTCCCGATAGAATTGTTGGATTTCCATCTCGAACGCACACGTCGGATAATGTGACTGGATGCTGGAAATACGAGAGTGAATGGACCAATAAAATTTCCATGGTTTTGACCGGAGCTGCATTTTATCACAAGGTAAACAAATTTCTTTTCTTACTCAATTTATTTTTTAATATAAACAAATAATTTTGTTTAAAAAAAAATTATGAGAATGTAATAAAAAAGCAAATAAATTTTTTTTTGAATTTCAGTACTGGAGTTACTTGTACACAACGGCAATGCCAGGCGACATTAAAGAATGGGTTGACGAGCATATGAATTGCGAAGACATTGCCATGAATTTTCTGATCTCAAATATTACCGGAAAAGCTCCCATTAAGGTATGAAAATCAAAAATTAATCATTAAACAGTCAAATTTTGATTATAGTTTAAATAACATTTTTTATATAAATTCATTTCGTGTGTTTATTTCTTATTTATATTTTATAAAAGATCAATTATTTTCTCAGGGAATATTTTATCAGTAGAATAAAAATTTACCTTAAATGCAAAGAAAAAAAATTTATTCCAAAAATTCTGAATTTAATTTAAAAATTGTAGGTGACACCAAAGAAAAAATTTCGATGTCCCGAGTGCACGAATACGGAAATGCTTTCAGCGGATTTAACCCACATGGTCGAGAGGACACAATGTATCAACAGATTTTCTAAAATTTATGGCTCAATGCCACTAAAATCAATTGAATTTCGAGCTGATCCGGTACTCTTTAAGGATGTCTTTCCCGAAAAATTGAAAAGATTCAATGACATTGGAAGTCTCTAAACAAAAAAAAAAAAAAAACAAAACTAAAATCTCATTTCCAAATATTTACTTTTGCAATTATTTTTTCTACTTTTTATAAAAAAAATAATAATAATTTATTATTCACTTTATATTTTTTTATCATTGTTTATTAAAACAGTTTAATGTGTATTATAATTTACTAACATTAAATTGTAAATTAATATCAAATAAATATTTTCTATTGTTGTTAATGTTAATTTTGTAGTTATAATTTAACAATTCCCTGTTTTTAAATCACTTTACAAAGTCTTTAAGGACTTTGTTAATTATTTATTCGTAAATATTTCTCTCTTGAGAAAATTAATATTGAACATAGTGCCTTCAAAAGTATTATCAAAATAACAACTTCAGTAGTAATAAAATATATAGAAATTAATTAAAAATTTCCATTTAAATATTTGCGAATGCAATGAAACTAAAAAATGTTAATTATAGACACTAGTGGAGGAAATTTTCCACTGAAAGTTAAATATTGAAAAATTAACAGTTATAATAGTAGCTGTTTTTGAAAATTAATTAAAGTTGAACATAAATAAACAGAAAGAATAGAAATTAGCAATTATAAATTTAAAGATTTAAATTAATCTCGCGAATAATTAACCTATCGATTAATTAAGATTAACAAAAATTAATTTTGGATAAAAAACCGTATTAGTTCAACTATCAGTACTAATTTTATCGATTTAAATTAATACTTAACGTGGATTTCACGTATATTGTTAGATAAAATAAAAATTTAACATAAACTTGAAAAAATTAATTTTTAACAAAAAACGGTAAAATAAAATAAAAGAAAGAGTACTTAAAAATAAGTGCTCATTAAATGACTTATTTTCGTACATAGCGTGAATAAATTGTGGACGGTGTTCCAACTGAAGAGTTTGAAGAATTTCTCGATGAACTTCCAACAGATCGAGGGACTTTTGTTGTTGTTGGAATACGAAATTCAGAATTCAAATCCATTTGTTCCAATTTTGTCGGTGTCAATTGCGTCAAAATGGAATTGTGATAGGATTTCCTTTTTGGAAGTGGCTGATTGTTAGCGTCGCTATGACTCGAAGAACTAAAAAACGAAAATTATTTTTTTTATCACTGAGAAATATTAGGATATTTTTTTTTTATTCTAAATAAATTATTTTTATGGTGTTAATTTTTTACTTTCTTTAGATAATTTCTTACCGAAGTGAATGTGCACTTTCCGTTAAAGATTGTGGAGTTAATATCGCAGAGGAATGGTGAATGTAGCGCTTATTTTTTTCGGATTGTTCATAATTGTAAATTTTCTTTTGAAGTGAATTTAATTCATTCGCAACTTCTTGACACTGTTGTTGAGAAATTTTGAAGGCTTTATGGATCCGCTGATATTGCTCTTTTACGCTAGTGTATTTTTTTTCCTAGAAAAAATATTTTTCAACAAACTTTTATTGTTTAAACGTGAATTTATATTTTACTAATCACACAGGGCTCGAACCAGTGAAAGTATTTAAAAATACGGACTTTACGGACCAAAAATGAATTTTAATAAAACGTAGGATATACGTACAACATTTAAGAATCGTTGATTACTTATCGCCCATTGTTGACTTTGAAAAGTTGTTGCTTGCTGCATTTGTTCATTGAGATCTTCAATTGGTTCAAAGCAATGTCTCACTTCAGGACTCAATGGTTCCACTAAAGGCATCGTACGTAGATTTTGTGCCTGGCATTGTGGGCATTTTTTTACAGCTAAATAAAGAAAAAATTTGATAATTACATATAAAATAAATTACGTCACCATTGTTGACACAATTTTCGCGAATTAAGACAAAAGTTACAAAATTCACATTAATTGAAAATAATCATCAATCATTAATGAGAATACTTAAATTATTATAATGAGAGAAGATTTCTTACCAATTTTGACACATTTAGTGCAAAAAATGTGACTGCAAAATGACAGGAAGAACGGAACTTTGCATTGTCGCATTAGAATGTAACAATTGTTACAGCGAAGCCATTCTTTTGGTCCTAATTCTTCTGACGACATGATTTTATTTATGTTATGTTTTAATGAATATTAAAACAAAATCGGAGATAACTTTCAGGACAAAATCGACGAGAACTTCGAATCAAACGTGGACACTCGTTTCAACGTGTTTGAGATTTTCCTCGAAAAACAAATATGGCGTCCTTGATCACTGCGTCATCACACGGAGAAATCCGGAAGTAAATAAATGCGCGACAGTGTTGCCAATCTTGTACTTTTCAAAAATTGAATAAACAATTATTGACTTTGTACATTTAATATCACAATATTAAACAAAACTATAAATTTCAATTTCTAATTTCCGAATCTTTATCAAATATCCATAAATATCGGTAAATAGAAACTAGAATTAAAAGATAATTAAATAATTTCGAAAGACAGAACGTAAGGTTGGCGCGTGCGCAGTAGGGTGCGCTGACAAAGCAGACAACTTCAGAGTGCAGACTACTCGGTTCTCGCTGCACTCACGCAAAAAGCGGCATGTATCCATGTGTTTTTAATCTTTTTAATTAAATAAATATTTATCATGAGTAGTAATTATAAGAATTTTCTAAGATTATTAGAAAATTGGCCATTGGAAAGTTCGAAGATTGGAAGGTAATGATTTTATTCACTGTTAATACTTTCATTCAACAAAATTTGTCAATGACAATAACACATTCTTTACTTATATAATTTTGTATATTTACATTTATATCGTAATATATTTATTAAAAACTTTGTTTTACATACTACGTTAATTGCAATGATGAAATAGATGGATATTTTTTCAATTTTTAAATGGAATTGTCATTGACATAATTGTAAATGGTTTCTAACCTCAAAATGCATTAAGAATAAAAATCAGTTTATTATTGTTTATTTGTCACTCGATTTACTTACAAATGAGTTTTAAATTATTATTATTAGGTATTATTATACTTATTATTTAAATAACACTTTTTTATACTACAAAAAATAACTAAAAACAAATATTTCAAAAATTATTTTTGAATAATTTTTCTAATTAACTTTTCGAAATAAACAATTGAAAATGTTTTAGAATTTAATTGACAATAATTAATTTTTTTCTAGTAATTTGTTACAATTTTTGAAAATCGTCTGTTGAAGAATTTTAATTGCAAATTTTTAAAATAATTGAATTTTATCAAATTTCAATATTTGGAGATTTTTCAATTTTATATAATTAAAAAAATATTATTATAAGGTTTATTTTTTTTTGTAATTAAGATGCAAATTTTTGTTATTTTAATTTTTGCTTATTGTAAATTGGTTTAATTAATAAATTCATTTTTTTCAGAGATCTAAGTCAGCATATTCGTGATCAGATAAAGATTGCATTTGCAAAAGGCGATATCCCACAAGCAAATCAGGATCAATGTAATCGCTATTATGAAAGTTTGACACGATTGAGTATAAATAAATACGGAAATCGCTACAAACGAAAAACTGATTCAACAGCAACTGGATTAACGCATGATCAGTGTAATTTAGCGCTCACGCCAGAGTTTTTGGAAGCATTACACGAAGACGAAGCCACATATTTCCAAAAGATCAAGAGAAAAGTATTTGGACCGGAAAAAAATGACTAGTCGAGCGTTAAGTAAGTTTAAGTTTTTTAATTGTGAATTTAATAATTTTAGTGCTTTTAAGAGATATTGCACACAATTGCAATATGCAAAACCAAAGAAGGAGGCACATTCACCAGTTATGATTGACGAGGTGGTGAAATACATGAATTTATCGCCTGGCGAAACAATTGTTGACATGACATTTGGCTCTGGTGGGCATTCAAGAAAACTTCTCGAAACTATTCCGAATATTAAAATCTATGCTCTTGATCGTGATCCACTGGCTTATGAATTTGCAGAAAATTTAGCACTCGAATATCCAGGGCAGGTGATTCCACTTTTGGGTAGATTTTCCGAATTGCCGGAATTATTGAAGGGGAGAAATGTTCCTGGCAATACGATTGATGGAATTCTTTTTGATTTTGGTTGTTCGTCCATGCAATTTGATACTGGTATGAGGGGATTTTCAATTTCACGAAATGGTCCATTGGATATGAGAATGGATGGTGAACGATTTCCGAATCAACCGACTGCTGCTGATATTATTGAAAAGGCAAGTGAAGAAGATTTAGCGCGTATTATTAAAGTTTATGGCGAGGAAAAGGAGGCGAAAAAAATTGCTCGTGTTCTCGTTGAATCACGATTTACATTGAAGAAATTGAGAACAACACGCGAATTGGCAGAAATTGTGAAATCAGCAATAAGTGATGAAGAGGACGATACAGAGGCGATTGGTCGACAGAAGCATTGTGCTACAAAAACATTTCAGGCTTTTCGAATTTTTGTTAATAACGAATTAAATGAAATTAATTATGGACTATTTATTGCTCGGGCTTATTTGAAAATTGGTGGTCGTTTAATAACACTTTCGTTTCATTCGCTTGAAGATTTAATTGTTAAACGACATATATCTGGTAATTTCATGGGTTCGCAGATAAATAAATTGCCATTAAAGTTTAGTAGTTATGGTACAAGTTTCTCTGAAAATGAACTTAACGATTATGAAAATTCAAATTGGCATATGTTGCATCCACATGTCTTGGTACCAGAACCTGATGAAATTGAAATTAATCCACGAAGTAGATCGGCGAGATTTAGAGCTATGGTTAAAGTTAGTTAACATTTGTCGATTATCTGAAATTTTATTTAACAATTTGAAGAATTAAAAATTATTGACATAATTTTTCATTGTGGTTGAGGAGTTTAGAATTAATTGAATTATAGTTTAGTATGTAGATAAATAATCAGATTTATAAAAATAATAAAAAAAAAAATAAAATAGAACAATCTGTTTTCCTTTCCTGAGGTTATTTCAGTTATTTTAGAATTTTTCCAGTTTTTCGTTATTTCTTTTCGAAGGTTTTTTGGTTCTAAATAGTCTCTTTTTTATAAAAAGTATTTGTAGTAATAAAAAATAGTTGTTTAAACGAATTACATTTATTAATTATTTATTTGCTTAAATATTTACTTTCTTATTTAATTATTTTAATTTTAATTATTAATTAATTACTTAATTTAATTAAATTAATTAAATAATTAATTTTTTTTTATCCTTCATGTATACCCCATTTGGGTAATTAATTAATTTAATTTTAATTATTTAATTAGATACTTCATTATTATGTAATTAATTAATAACTTTATTAATTAATTATAATTATTATTAATTTTATTTATTAATTTATTTTTTCTATTAATTAAATTAAATTAATTAATTAATTTAATTTTCATTATTAATTTTAATTACTTCATTATTATCTAATTAATTAATAACGTTATTAATTAAATATTTACTTTATTTAATAATTATATAGATATTTTAATTATAAATTTGTAATAAAAAAATTAAATTTAAATTACAAAATTTGTGTCGTGTAAAAAATTCATTTGAATTGAATTTGAATTTTCGCGCTCTAAAGGTTGGACACTGACCGCCAGATGGCGAACCATAAGAACGAGCGGAACGTCGGAACGCGTCATTTCGACGCCGCCATTTGTATTTTCGGAGTGTTTGCAACATGTCATGCGTTTCAAAATTTGTTTCTGTTCGGAAAAGTATAAAAATTAAACTAGATAAAGTAGAAAATAGTTAAAAACAAGAGTTTAAAAGTAAAAAAATTGATTGATTTTAAAAAATGTGCTGTGAAAATAATTGCTTTCAACTATTTCAGCAAACATAACAAAGAACAAATTTCCACCGCCTTTTCCGCTGAGATCGTTGGCTTTTTGTGATTTCTTTGAACATCCGCGATCGTTTTTAAATCTACAACTAAAATTGGTGAGTGAACTTCTTTAGTATTTTCGAATTTTACTCTACAAGACATTGTAGAATATTCTCATTATCTGAATTTGATTTGACAACATGACATATTTTAGTTGTATGAGAAATTTTTTAAAGGTATTATTATTTTTCAAAGTTTCTTTGCTTTAGAAATTTGATCAGTATCAGAAATACGAACTATTTCGTAATTACGGCTTCGTTGATAATCTCGTCATTATCATTATCTACAAATGATAAATTAGATTTTTAAATATTTATACAATTTTTCCTCTAACAAATTACAATTTTTGGTAATAAGAAAAGTTTTTCAACAAAAATTACTCGATTTATTATAAAAAATATTAAAATTAAAATAAATAATTTGTGTTCTTCAAAAAATCAATTTAAATTAGAATTTAAATTTTGGCGCTATTAAGCTTTCAACACTGGCCGCTAGATGGCGGATCAGTGGAACGTCCGGAACGTACTTTCGCGCCTTTTTCACATTTTGCAACATTTCTTCGTCGCCATTTGCATTTTCCGATTGTTTTCAAGTTGTCGCTCATTTCATCACTTGTTTTCATTCTAAAAAGTGAAGATTAAAATAGAAAAAAGTAAAAAAGAAAAGTAAAATAAGTTTAGAAAAGTAAACAAAGTAATTGGGTAAGTATAAAGTTGATTGATTTTAATAAATGTGCTGTGAAAATAATTGCTTTCAAATTCCAGTAAATTCAACAAAAGATTGACTTTCAATATCATTATTATTAACCGATATATTGGAAATGTAGAAAATATAGAGTTTGCCAATACAGAAACATGTTTTCAAATAGTAAAATTCGTAAAATTTCTAATAAATTTTTGAAAAAAAAATTTTTTTACTTGTAAACATAACCTATATTTTAGTTAATCAAAAGTTTCTTGTTATGCTTTTCGTAATGTATTCGTTTCAGTTCTTTTTGTTTTTCTATAGCAAAAAAAATGGTCTACTTAAACATTTTTACCTTATAAAGTTACTAATTAAACAATGAGAAAGTTAATGAAAAAAATATCGAACAAATAAAAATTCGTTGAAATAGAAATTCTATTAAATAAAAAGTTAGCGAAATACTTTAATCTAAATATTTTTAGTTTTCTATTTTTATAAATTAGAATATTTAATATTATTTATTAGAAATTGATTAGAAATACATTTATATTATTAATTATATTAATTCAAGTGGAGTAAAATACGATTTTCTTATTTCTTTTTTTCAGAAAACGGATAAAGTATCAAAAGAAGGATGACCATAATTTCTGAATCAACAAAAATTTGGAAGGTTTTGCCTTTTTCTGCTGGTCCTTGGCCTATTGTGAATTATTTCAATATTCGACAACGAAATCAATTCGGAATTAAATGAACAACAAAAATTGGTAAGTGAATGAATTTAATATTAATTTCTTGTTATATATACCGAGATATTTTAGGATATTTCTATTTATTTTTTAATTCGATAATCTGAAATCCCATTTAAAAATTTGACGACTGAAAATAATTGAAATAATTTTGTCGTGGTGGATTTGGAGTATAGGATTAAATAAATTACAATTTAGTGTATAGAGAAATAATCAGATTTATAACAATGATAAAAATACAAATAATGCAACGATCTGTTTTCCTTTCCTGAGGTTATTTCAGTTGTAATAGAATTTATTTTTTTTGTATAGGTTTTTATTATTTCTTTCCGCAATTATTCTGTTTTAGAACAGACCCTCTATTTGATCAGTTTCACAATTCCAGTCCATGTCGTAAACGCATGGCCTCGTTGACAATCCTGGCATCATCATTATCTAAAATTGATAAATTAGATTTTTAGAAAAGTTGCATCATCCCTCGTTAAAAAATATGAAAAGCAAAATAAATAAATTAAAACTCACTTCTCCAACCATTGGAACAATAAAACCTGCGCCTACTGAGACGAAAATGTCGGAGATTTCAATTTTAAAACCAGTCGGTGCTCCTTTTATGTTAGAATCTCCAGTTAGGGAATTGGATGTTTTTGCCATGCAAAGAGGTAAACTATTGTATCCTAGTTTATTGTATTCTTCGATTTTTTCTTTAACCTGAAAAAAAATATTTCGTTGGATTGATTACAAAAAATTTTCACTAGAAACAAACGAAATTAAATAATCAAACAAATTATGTTAAATTTTTTTTTCAATGCAGGGAAATTGTTAAACTGAAGTTTGCGACCACCCTGAATATATATTAAATAAATTGAGTGAATTGATATAATTTGATTAAAAATTTCAACAAATTTAAAAAATTAGAAAATTTGAAATCCTGAGATTTGAATAATTTAATTTTAAAACTTTAAAAAGTTAAAAAAATAAAAAAATGTTAGGAAATATTACCTTTTCAGTTAAAACGACTTCTCCTGCTCCATACATTTCCTTTGCGATGGTATTTATTTTTTCGACAATACTCGCGTTGATATTGTACAAAAATTGGAAGTTACTTGGTTTATTTGTTGCTGCAATAACAGCATCGGCTAATTGCGCAGCTCCCAATCCACCTTTAGCCCAATGAGTGCAAATTACTGCGTCTGCCGCTCCACTTTCGAGAGCAGCTTTCTTTACCATTTCCAATTCTGCTTCAGTGTCTGTCCTGTAAAAATAGAATGCAAATTTTGTCGCTTTAAACTTTAAACACTGACTGACTGAAAAATTGACAAACTGACAAATTTGTTTTAGTAACTATTGCTTTTGTTTCAGCAAATGGAAGATGACTTACTCGTGAGCATTGATTGCGACAACAACAGGAACACCGTGTTTACATCCATTGCTAATGTGCTTTTGAAGATTTGGAATTCCTTTTTGTAACAAATCGAGATTTTCCTCGACGTACTCCTTTTTGAGAACTGCACCTGGCGTAACTGCAGGACCACCGCCGTGCATTTTGAGAGCACGAATTGTCGCCACCAGGACAACGGCATTTGGTACGTGGCCCGAGGTACGACATTTTATATTGAAGAATTTCTCCATACCGATATCAGAACCAAAACCAGCTTCGGTCACGACATATCCATCGGGACCAACGAGTTTCAAGGCAATGGCGTCAGCAATGATGGATGAGCATCCATGAGCAATGTTTGCAAACGGACCAGCGTGCACCAGCACTGGCGTTCCTTCGATATTTTGCATCAAGGTTGGCTCAATTGCGTCTTTTAGTAAAATTGCCATTGCTCCGGTCATACCCTGGAATGGAAGTTTTCAAAGTACTCGAATAATGATTTATTCTACTATATTTATACGATCAAGAGAAGAAACATTTTATGAATATTAGTAAATAAGTGAATTCGATGAATTCCTATTGAATTTACGCTCTGGTTTTAGTTTCGATATAAAATTTACTATTTTCTAATACTAGAAATCAAAAAACTATTCTCAAAAATTAGAATCGAATTCTTTAAAACGATTCAATTATTTTTAAAAATATTCGAAATTCAATTATTTTCAATATCTAGTATTTTCATAAAATTTTGCAAAAGAATTCAATTATTTAAAAAAAAATTGATAAAATTCATCCAAAATTCAATTATTTTCATAAATAGTAAAATTTCCACAGGAATTCAATTAATTTAGAATAGCATTTTCAAACAAAATTGCAAAAAATCAATTATTTAACAAAATGTTTATAAATAAAAAATTTGATACAATTCTAAAAAAAATTCAATTATTTTCATAAATTAATAAAACTCATCGAAGAATTGCAATTATTTTTAATACTAAAATTAATTAACCGAAAAATTCAATTATTTTCACAAAATAAATATTTTCACAAAAATTCAATTATTTTCACAAATAAATATTTTCACAAAAATTCAATTATTTAAAATAAATTTTTCATAATATTTATTATATTTCCAAAAAAATAAATTATTTAAAACAATGTTAATAAAATTTTTATAAAGAATTCAATTATTTTTAAAAATAACAAAATTTTTCACAGAAATTCAATTTTTTTAAAACATTTCAATCAAATTTTTCTCAATAATTTAATTATTTTCATAAATAATAAAATTCTCCCAGAAATTTAATTAATTTTGAAAATTTTAATAAATTTCTTACCAACTATTCAATTATTTTTATAAATAATAACATTCATCGCAGGGTTTCAATTATTTTTAATAGAATTTTACAGGAATTGATCAAAAAATATAATTATTTATATAAATTTAATTTCTATCCCTCGAAAAAATCAATTATTTAATTAAATATTTTTTAATTCTTCCGAAGAATTCAGTTATTTACAAAAATATTAGAATTTTTCACAGGAATTCAATTATTTTCAAACATTTTAATAAAATTGTTTAAAAGAAATCAATTATTTAAAATCCAATTTAAATTAATTTTTTTTTAGATAATTCAATTATTTTTTTTAGATTTTTATAAAATTCTTCCTAAGAATTCAATTATTTACATAAATAATTCTTCGAAAGAATTCTATCATGTCGATAAATAACAAAATTATTCCCCAAAAATTCAATTATTTTGAGGCATTTTAATAAAATTCTTTGGAAAATTCAATTATTTTTATAAATATCACAAGAATTCAATTATTTTTAAAAGTAATAAATTTCTTCTTGGAAATTATCGAGTGCGAAGTCTGTTATCGTTAAAATCATAAAATTTGATATTTTCATTCGAGTGAATGAATTATTTAGGAATGATTATGAAAAATTCTTCGCATTTACTTATGAATTCAATAAGATTGGATTTTTGGCGCTTTCTGTCAAAAAATTGCTATTTTTAGGAATATTTTTACTTTATTGGAGATTCATTTCTAAAGATAAAATTTAAGTAAAGAATTTCATTAAAATGTTTAAAAATAATTAAATTTTTGCGAAGAATTTTATTATTTATAAAAATAATTGAATTCTTGACAAAAATTCCAGTTAAATTTTTTAGAATAATTTTATTATTTATAAAAATAATTGAATTCTTGACAAAAATTCCAGTAAAATTTTTTAGAATAATTTTATTATTTATAAAAATAATTGAATTCTTGACAAAAATTCCAGTAAAATTTTTTAGAATAATTTTATTATTTATAAAAATAATTGAATTTTTATCAAGAATTTCTTAATATTTTTGAAAATAATTGAATTTTTGCGAAGAATTGTATTATTTATGAAGATAATTGAATTCTTAGGAAAAGTTTTTGAAAAATAATTGAAGTTCTGCGAAGAAATTTGTTATTTATGAAAATAATTGAATTCTTGTCAAAAATTTCATTAAAATAATTAAAAATAATTAAATTTTTGCGAAGAATTTTATTGCTTATAAAGATAATTGAATTCTTGTTTAGAATTTCAGTAAAATTTTTTTTAGAATAATTGAATTAATTTAATTTTATTTATAATTATAATTTTTTTCTCACCTATTTTTAGAAAATAATTTATCTTTTCACCTATCTTAATGGAAAAAGATACTAAAGATATTAAATATTATTTATACATTAGAAATAGATTTGTATTATTAATTATTAGTTAAATTAATTCAAGTGGTGTAAAATACAAATTTCTCAAAATATTCCTTTTCTTTCAGAAAACAGAAAAAGTTTGAAATGAACTTACGAAATCTTCTGCTGTCAATGGAACACCACTCTTGCTAAATCCAACGACAATTTTTCCAAGTCTCTGTTTTAAATCTTCGGGACTTGTTGCCAGAGCAAGGATGGCCATAATTTCTGAGCCAACAGAAATGCGGAAGGATGTCTCTCTAGTTTTGCCCTTTTCTGCTGGTCCTTGGCCTATTGTGATCTTTCTCAACATCCGGTCATTTAAATCCACAACTGAAATTGGTGAGTGAATTAATTTAGAATTATTTTTTATTTCATATTACAAACATAATATATTTTATGATATTTTTATTTTATTCTATTTTTATAATATTTTTGTTTTATTTTTTAATTTTTATTCTATTTTTATTTTATTTTTATTTCTGTTTTTATTTATGTTTTTATTCTATTTATGCTTTATTTTTATTTGACTTCTATTTGGGTGTTGTAATTAAAACAAAATCTCTCACCTCTCGTCCATGTGATATTCGCGGGATCAATGTCAAGTCTGACAAATTTACTCTGCTCCTCTTCGGTTAAACTATTTGGATCAGTTTTATTAATGCCTAATTTTTCCAGACGTCGCAGTTGAATATTGGAAAATTGTCGTACTCCTTTTACTGTGGGCACTAATCTTTCGTATAGGGCTTTATTGGTTTGTGTCGATTCGTGAAAATATCGAGCGTCCACCTGAGCTGCCAGGAGATTATTGGCAGCACTCACTGCGTGAATATCGCCCGTTAAATGAAGATTAAATTCTTCCATGGGAATAACCTGAATTGACAATTTTACTCAATTTTTTATTTTAATTTTATAAAATTCTTTTTAACAAAAATTTTCAAAAAAAAAAAAAAATTGCTAAAAAATCTTTATAACATAATTCAAGGTATGTTAATTAAAATAGAAAATTAGTGGAACGAACACTGAAAAAAAAGTTTATTTGGTTTCAAATAACTGATTATTTATCTAATTATCAAATAAATATTTACTTGATTCAAATAATTTTTATTTCAATCAATTAAATTTTATTTGCTTCAATATACTTTTGGTCCGTAAATTTCGTATTTTCAATTACTTTCACTGGTTCGAGCCCTGGAATTTATTTAATAGAATTAAATTAAGAGAATAAAATAACCTGAGAATATCCGCCGCCGGCTGCACCGCCTTTAACACCAAACGTCGGTCCTTGACTTGGTTGTCTTAAAGTGACAAAAGAATTTTTTCCCCTGTGTGCTGATAATGCTTGAACTAATCCAAGAGCAGTTGTACTCTTACCCTCTCCCAATGGTGTTGGCGTAATTCCAGCCACAACCACATATTTTCCATTCTTTTGATTTTCTAGTCTCTGCAAAACTTTAAGACTCACTTTACCCTTTTTACTTCCATACGAGCTCAATTCATTCGGCATTATTCCAATTTCCTCCGCCAATTGTGCGATTTCCTTTGGTTCATGACTTCTCGATATTGTTATATCATTAGGTATAGGTTTTTCTAGTTTTAATTTTAAAATTCTCAAATTCCATTCGTTTGTGAGTAATTTCTTTGCCGATCGTTGAGCAGAGATGACGGTATTTTTCATTAGCATTGCCACTGTCATTGGGCCAACTCCACCCGGAACTGGGGTAATGTATGACGCTACATTAACAGCTTCGGCAAATGCCACGTCCCCGACGAGACGACTTCCTGATTTTTTCGTCGAATCTGAATTTCATGGAATTTTCTGTTGTAATTAATTTTTCAATTTATATTCATTCTTTCAATTTAGTAATTTGAAAGTAATAAACATTCAATTTACACTAATAATTATCGAATAATTATTTTCTCACTTATTTTTATTTAATAACAGACATTTTTAAAAATGAATTTCGAGGAAAAGTTAATCAATGCTATTTAAATGCGTCCTTACTATGAGAAAGAAAATAAGAAACTGTAGGTCGTTACAATCTTTTTTCGTCACAAACTTCTGTTTTGTAATACACGAATATCATATGTGTTGAATTATTTTTCGCTATGAAAAAACTGATAACGCTTGTTGGGACACATTTAATGTAGAATAGAATTGTCGACTGGGTGAGAAAAAAATTTTATGAAAGTGTTTCTTCCTTGGAAAGTTGTTTCTTTCTTTGATTATTAAAAATAATTTCCGATGAATAAAAATTATTTAAAATAATATTTAATTATTATATAAATAGAAGATAAATTGAATTAATAGATAAAAAGATTATTAGAAATTGTAGTTTTGCCGGTAAAAATAGAATTCTTTATTCAAGTCTCGATTTTTAATTTTCTTTTTTGTGATATTTTTCGAAAAATGCGATTTTTGTAATTATTGTTTACTTGAAATATTTTTTACCTGGAATGGGATTAATTCCACAGTCAATAACAACTGCGCTGGGTTTAATCCAAGAACCTTTGACCATTTCTGGTTGTCCGATACCAACAACTAAAATATCGGCTTGTGAAACCTGAAAAAAGACAAATTTTGGTTTTTTTATTTACAATTTCTTGATTATTTAAAAAATATAAAATTTTACTATTAACAAAGTAAAAAAATTTTTTTAAATTATCGAATTAATAGAAATTTTGTGAAATTCAACTGAAAATAATTAAATTTGTTAAAGAATTTCATTAAAAACTTTTTAACAAATCGAATTTTCAAAGTATTTTAATTTAATAGTTGATAAATAATTGAATTTTATAAAGAGTCACATTCTAATGTATTCATTTTTCTTAGTTCGAAGAATTATAATTAAAATTTTTATTAGTTAATTTAAAAAAGGATACACACTTAAAAATTTTTAATAAAATTGAATTTTCGCAGTATTTTTTCAAAATTCTGAAAAATAAGATTTTTGAAATTTTTCAATTCTATTGTTTTAAGATAATTGAATTTTTATAAACAAATAATTGAAAATTTTTGAAATAATTGAAATTTCTTTACATTCTATTAAAAATAATTAAATTCTATTGAAGAATTTTATTTAAATTTTTCGAAAATAATCAAGGCAAGTTAGTCACCGTAATTATAATTTTATTTTTAAAAATTTCTTCGCTTTATATTCAATTATTTTCATAAATAGTAAAACTCATTGCAGAATTTCTATTATTTTTAATACAATTTTAATCGAATTCCTCGAAAAATGTAATTACATTTTATATTCTTAAAAATTTTATTAAAATTCGTCGTAAGAATTCAATTATTTCTAGAAACTGAAAAAAAATCTTCTCAAGAATTCAATTATTTATATAAATAGCAAAATTCTTCAGATTTACGAAATTCTTTTGAATATTATTATTAAAAAAAAATTTTCACAAGAATTCAATTATTTTCATGAATTTTCATAAAATTCTAAAAAAAATTCAATTATTTTCAAAGGTAATAAAATTCTTCGCAGAAATTTAATTATTTAAAAAAATTTTTTTAATTTCTCAAAATTTCAATTATTTTTATAAATAAATAAATTGTTCTCCACAATTCAATTATTTTCAAAAATTTTAATAAAAAATTAAAATATAAAAATAATAAAATATTAAATAATTAAAATAATTAGGTTATTTGAGAAATTAAAATTTATTGAAATTGTTATATTAGATATGGAAAAATTTTATTAAACTTACGACTTTTGCTATATCTTTTGTTCTTGAATGACAAACGGTGACAGTTGCATTTTGCCATTTTAATAATTCGGCAACGGGTGTTCCTACAATTTTACTTCTTCCCAAAACAACAGCTTGTGCTCCTGCCATAGGAACTCCACTCCTGTTAATTTAGAGAAAAGAAAAATATTCTTTAATTTTTAGTATTTAAATCACGTTCGCAGTGAATTGATTATTTATAATTAATTAATCAACTAAATTAATAAATTAAAATAATAAATAACAAACTTTTTAATAAGTTCAATACATCCGTTTGGTGTACAAGGCATAAATCCAGTCATGTCGCCAATTGCTACTCTACCCTCGTTTATTGTATTCAATCTGTAAAGAGAATTTGGAAGAATTATAATTAATTTCAGTTTTAATTAATTGTAATTAAATATTTATTTCAAATTCAAAAAAAAAGATTTGAAAGAATTTTTTTTTAAATAGAAAATTTTTCTTAGAACGAATATTTTTTTTGGAAAAAATTTTTATTAATAAATAAATATATCTTCTTTTGAATTAATTAAAATTAATTGATAATTGATTTAAGAGAAGAAATATTTATATATTAACGAACATTTTCCTAAAAAAATATTCTTTGTAAGACAAATTTTCTATAGATATAGTTAATTAATTAATTAATTCAAATTATATCTCTTTGAATTTGAAATTAATTAAATTAAAATTAATTAATTCGAGAGAAGAAAAATTTATTTCAAAATAAGAGAGATTTATTTTAGAATGAATTATTTTTCCACAGAAAAATTTTTTCTTTATTGTGGTCTTGTTTATAAATAAATAGAAAATAATGAAAATGAATTATTAGTATCAATGATAAAAATGAAATATTACTAATAATAATAATACATTTTTAAAATAAAAAATAAAGAATAATTAATTAAAGATTAATCTAATCTTTCTAATGAAATTAATGAAGTTAATGAAATTAATGAGATTAATTAATTAACGTTAATTGGTAAATTTAGAAAAATTGATTGCTAAAGAATTCTTTTTACTAGAAATAAAAAAATTAGAGTAATTTAATTTTTGATTAAAATACCAAATTATTATTTATTGCAAAAGTAATCGACAATTTTCTATTTCCAATCGTATGAAAATTAAGAGCAAATTATTTTTCCAACATGGAATAATATTTTTCTCGACAGAAATTAGAATCTCTAATTTTCGGTCGTGAATGTCAAAGGTCGAGCGCATGTTTAATCATTATTATCAGGAATTTAGTGCGATTACATTTCTTGTAATTATTTTTATATTAGCTCTCCAAAGATGAGATAATTTCGCAGAAGGAGAATGGAGTTTTTAATTTTTTAAAATGCATATAATAAACGCGATAAGAGTACACTCGAAAAAAATAACAAATTCTTACCCATCGACATCTTTATTTGGTGAGACCATATCGGTTATGAGATGTGAATTAATTGTATTAACACAATCTAATGGCATTTGAACAATAATACCATGTGTATTAGGATCATTATTCAAATAATTGAGTTTATTTATTAATTCAGTTTCTGTTATTGTATTTGGAAGTTTCATATGATTTGCTTTTATTCCAATTTCATTGGCTGCATTTATCTTCATTCGAATATAGACATTTGAATCTTCTCGGCCACCAACTTGAACTATAGCAAGACCCGGTGTGAAATTTGGTAATTTCTCTTTCAATTGCGCTACATCTTTCTTTAATGACTCTCGAATTTCCCTTAAAAAGAAACGAAAAATTTTTTCATGTTAATTATATTTGATAATTGTGACATAATTATGATAATCATGATAATTGTTGATAATCCATCAAAGTATGTACTGGAAATTCTATGAAGATTGCTTAAAAAACGGAATTTTTCCAGGTTTTTAAAACGAAAATTATTGAAAAACATCAATAACTTCATTTTTAAAGAAATATTTAATCATTATTTTTTTTATAGAAATTAAAATATTCAAAAATTGGAAATTTAGTAATATAAGAATATTATTATAAAACTTGTTACTTTGTTACTGTAACATTCTTTAAAAATTATTTTCATCATTGCGATTATTTATTTCTAGAATTTTCAACTAAAATTCTTCTTGAAGTCAATTTTTTAAAATAATTTTTAAGTTTTTTTTTTTATTTTTTTTTTAAAAATATTTTTTAAAGTTCTTTGCGAATTTTCAAATTTTTTTGTTTACAATTTAATTTTACGAAATTTCGATTATTCTGACATTCTTCAATTAAATATATTAGAAATTAAAAACTTCTAATAATTAAAAAAAATTCCGTTAAACTTATTGAGAAAAATTAATTCTATGGAATTCTTAATTAAAAGTATAAAAAGTTCAAATTTTCAAAGATTTTAATTTGAAATTCATTTTTAAATAAATATTTATTAGTTAATATTTAGCTTTTAAACTAAAAAAGTAGAAAAAAAGTAGCTATAGAAAAATTAGACTTGACGACCACAAAAACTCGTTTGAGATACTTCACAAAACTGACAAAAATAAATAATAATTGAATTCTTGCGAACGATTTTAATAGAATTTTTTAAAATATTTGAATTTCCGAGAAGAAATTTATTACTTTTAAAAATAATTGAATTCTTGTGATGAATATTGTTATTTATGAAAATAATTGAATTTTGCAAAGAATTTTATTAAAATGCCTCAAAATAATTGAATTTTTTCTAACAATTTTATTAAAATATTTGAAAATAATTGAATCCCTGTGAAAAATTCTAATATTTTTGTAAATAATTGAATTCTTCCAAAGAATTTAAAAAAAACCATTTTTTTAATAATTGATTTTATCTAGGAATTGAAATGCAATTTTTAAGAATAATTACATTTTTTGAGCAATTCCTGTAAAATTGTATTAAAAATAATTCAAATCCTGCGATGAATTTTATTATTTATAAAAAGAATTGAATAGTTGTTAAGAATTTTATTAAAATTTTCAAAAATATTTTAATTTCTGAGAGAATTTTATTATTTATGAAAATCATTTAATTATTGAGAAAAATTTGATTAAAATGTTTAAAAAAAACTTGAATTTCTGTGAAAAATTTTGTTATTTTTGAAAATAATTTAATACTTCATAAAAATTTTATAAACATTGTTTTAAATAATAAATTTTTTCGAAATATAATAAATATTATGAAAATTTTATTTTCTTGTGAAATAAAATTTATTTATTTGTGAAAATAATTAAATTTTTCGATCAATTAGTTTAAAATAGTATTAAATATAATTGCAATTCTTCGATGAGTTTTATTATTTATGAAAATAATTGAATTCTTGCTTAGAATTTTATCAAAAATTTTTTTTAAAAATTGAATTCCCATGAAAAATGTTATTATTTGTTAATTCCTGTGGAAATTTTATTATTTATGAAAATAATTGAATATTAGATGAATTTTATCAATTTTCTTTAAATAATTGAATTCTTTTGTGAAATTTAATGAAAATACTATAGATATTGAAAATAATTGAATTTCGAAAAAAGTTTTATGCTTAACAAAGATAATTTAAATTTTGACGATAATTTTTGTAAATTTTTAATCATAACTGGATTTCTGCGAAGAATATTTTATTAAAATTATTTTTAAAAAAATTGAAATGATACGCAAAGAATTGCATTAAAATTTTTGAAAATAATTTTATTCTTTAAAGAAATTTAATTAATAATTTATTGAAAATAATACTTAAATTCTAATAAATAAATTGTAGCAAAGGCTATTAAAATAATTAAATTTCTTTGATAAATTTTAATAAAATTTTTTAGAATAATAACTGTTTTCGGGGAATTCTATTAAAATTGTATTAAAAATAATTGAAATTCAGCATTGAGTTTTATTACCTATTTATTGAAATAATTGAATCCCTGAAAAAAAGTTATTATTTATGAAAATAATTGAATAATATATGAAAATAACTTGTAAATAATTGAATTCCTGTGAAATTAATTGCGTTGATAACAATAATGTTAATAATAATGATATTATTATTATTATTATTATTATTAATATTATTATTATTTGCGATAATAAGTATCAGTTTATCATTAATTATCGACAGTGAGATAAATATTCATTAGTGAGTAATATAAAAAATCAAAATTGCGTTTGAAAATTAAATGTTTTGAGAATTTTTTTCTTGGGTTCTAAAAATACCATTAAATTAGGTCCGTCCCTGTTCTATTCACACGCAGCATCTGCTAATCCACGTGAATGAATGCCTAGTGTAAAATTATTTAATAAATATCTCTTTCAAATTGAATTAAGATGAAAAGAAAAAGCAGACGAAGTGTTATTAAAAGAAATAAAAAAAATTGCTTTTATTTAGTTTTAAAGATTTTTATTCCTTTTTTCTTGGTTGTTTTATGAAGCACACTTGTTGATTCTAAATTTGTCAATTGCCGGCTCAGAAAAACCTTGTAATTTTCAATTAATTTAAATTATTTAAATTGATTGGAAAAAGAATATTTCTTTTTACACTTACTTTGCTAATTCCGTACCGGAAAGCAAAACTCCACGTACATCGGTAGACATTCTTCTGATTAGCACTCTAAAATAGGAGCACAAAATAAAAATTATTGGAGCACGTTAATTTTTTGGATTATTTCTTTGTGAAATATTTTCTATGAGGAATATTGATATTTGAGGTGCAGAAATAATTTTGAATGTATTACACAGAGGAAGGTTGTACTTTTACTTTTTTTTTTCTCGAGAAGGGGATCAAAACGTGATTTTCTTGTATTGAGTCGTTTGACGAGTAAGGGAATCCAAACTAAACTGAATCTTTAAGACGAAATATTTATTATCTTGCGTGAGAAATCAGTGCCGTATTAAAAAAAATCTTCTATGTTCGTTTTTTATTTTATTGGGAATTTTTTTTTATCGAAAATTTTTAAATAATAAATGGTTATTATTTTTATTTATTTTTATTTATTTTTATTTATTTTTATTATTTTTTGTTTTATCGGGAATTATAAATTTTTTTTCATTGAAAATTGTAAAATAATAAATAGGTAGTAATTATTTTCTATAACTTAGTTTAAAAGTAATTTGTTTCTTAATTTTAAAATTTTAATTTTGCAAAATTTATTTTGCGATAATGTTATACAGTTATGAAATTTTTATTATAATATATAGAATATTTGAATATTGGCAAAAATATTTTAAGATGTGAGAAAAGCCCCTGTTTTTAGACTAACAGCAATACATCAGTGTAGCGAAGTGAATTATTTCAAAACCCAAATTTGGCAATATTTTTTATTATTAATAATGCTTATTATTAATATTATTAGAAAGTATTTATAAATATTATAAATAAACAATATTTTTAAATACTATAAATAGAAAATATTTATAAATACTATAAATAGAAAATATTTATAAATATTCACTGAAGAAAATTTATTTGATTCAAATAACCGATTACTTGACTATTATCAATTAAATATTTACTTGAATTAAATAATTTTTATTTGAGTCAATTAAATGGTATTTGCTTCAAATACCATTTAATTGACTCAAATAAAAATTATTTGTTTAAAAAAATAAATATTTAATTGATAAGAAACAAGTAATCGATTATTTGAATCAAATACATTTTTTTTTCACTGTTCTTAGTAGAAAATATTTATAAATATTATTATCAGAAAATGTTTAAATAAAAATATAAATAGAAAATGTTTATATTTTTATAGGTATAAAATAATAATTTTTTTTTAGAAATAATTACTTAAATATTTATAAATAAAATAACAATTTCCAGGTAAAATTAGGTGCATACGATATTCCTGAATTAAAAGTTAAATTTTGTTTCGAGAAGGGAAAGAAAAAGTACGTTATTATAAGCAAATTATTAATAAAATTTTTTGTACCTAACGATTCTTAATGAAGTCATGTTTACTGTTAATTCAACAATACTTTAGGAAAATTAATGTCTGTTTACCGTATATAATAGTTTTTTCCGCAAAACCCATTTATTACATTTATTATCACATGTTAAAAATAGAGAGATATTTGTGCAATTTCTTTATTGAGTAACATGATTAGATAAACTTTTAACTACTTTGAAATGAATTTAAATAGAAGAACGTAAAATAATTTGTTTTTTTAAATAATTTAATGTAAATTAATTTATTTTTCCCGCAAGATAATTTAAAAGTGTTGACATTTTTTTAAATAATAAAAAGGATATTTTTTATCGTCTTTTGTAGAAAATTTAATTTTTCATCAATTTATTTTTTTATTTTTCAGGTCGAATACGACAGATAATAATTGGGGCCATTTCATAAGTCATTGGATGTCCTTGAAAATGCAGTATCAACAGGAAAAATGGTAAGTTTTATTTTGAATTGTTTTTTCTTTATTTTTTATAATTTATTTATTTTATTTATTTATTTATTTATTTAGAAAAATTTAGTAGGGCTGTGTAGCCCTCGAAAGAACGAAATATAAATAATTGATTTCTATTATAAAATTTAAACTGAATTTTTATTTTGTTTATTATTTGAATAGTTTGTCTTCTCTTAAATTTAATGAAAACGATCGTTCTCGGTTAATATCGTCTATAAACTTTAGAATCTCTCCATGAAATTGATAGAAATCCCAAGTGTACGTTTCTGCATCGAAACCCTCAGTTGATAGTAATTTTTAAGTGACGCATGAATAATGCCCTAAAAATTATTTTTCTTAGAAATTATTTTGATTTTAGAATTTTATCAAGGTAGATATTTCTTTTTTTATAGAAAATTTTCCTATTTGATAGATTTTTTGACAAATTTTCATTTTGGATCAATTGGATGTTATCTTGAGTTTCTTTTCGAAAGCCTTTTTATTTGTAGGAAGTTGAATTTTTATTTAATTGAATTTTTTTTAATTATTTAATTATTCAAAATCAATTTTCAAGTTTTTTTTTAATTTCAATTAGAAAAATTTCTATTTAACTCTTCTTTTTACTTAGACTATTTCTTCTTGATAATTTCTTCATAATGAATGTATAAAAAATTATCTTAATTGAAAATTCTGACACATAAAAATTCGATTATAAAAAATTTTTATTGGTAACTTTATAATTATAACTAGTAAGAATTTAAAAAAAAATGTTAAATTGTACAAAATGTTTATATATTTTATGAATGGCGTGTTTTTTATTTCTCTATAGTTTAGGCATATGATATATTAACTGTTATATTATGTCCAAGATGATAATTATTACAATGCGTCAGAAATTTAATGGTAATTAAAATTCGCGATATCAGAGAGTGAAAATATATTATATATCTTCTTTCTTAACTGCCATGACTGCAGTTTATCAGTTATCTTCCGAGTATAAAAAAATTCATCAATTAAAATATTTGTTATTTGACAAAATCTTAATATGTTGAAAAGTTCTATTCATTTTGTAAAATTATGTTACCTTCTTTTAATTTTGAGGAGAAAAAAATGTAAAATGTTTTAGTTGTTTTGCTCGTTTTATTAATGTCTTGACATTTTTTTATAAAATAATTTATAAAATAATTTATAAAATAATGAAGCTAAATGCCATAAAAAGAAGTAAAAATATTGAATTTTAGGAAATTCGGTTTTTTCAATTATTGATAATTTTAAATAATTTTGAATTTTTCACCAAGGGTGCAGACTATTAAATAAGTAAAGTGTTTTTGAAGAGCACAAAAATAATGAAGCTAAATCCCATAAAAGAGAGGAAAAAATGTTGAATTTTAAGAAATTCGGTTTTTTGAATTTTTGATAATTTTCGAAAATTTTACATTTTTTACCAAACAGTCGAGACTATTAAATAAGTAAAGTATTTTCCAAAAGCACAAAAATAATGAAGCTAAATCCCATAAAAAAGAAGAAAAAATGTTAAATTTTAAGAAATTCGGATTTTTTAATTTTTGAAAATTTTCGAAAATTTTAGATTTTTTACCAAAGAGTCGAGACTATTAAATAAGTAAAGTATTTTCCAAAAGCACAAAAATAATGAAGCTAAATCCCATAAAAGAGAGGAAAAAATGTTGAATTTTAAGAAATTCGGTTTTTTGAATTTTTGATAATTTTCTAAAATTTTACATTTTTTACCAAACAGTCGAGACTATTAAATAAGTAAAGTATTTTCCAAAAGCACAAAAATAATGAAGCTAAATCCCATAAAAGAGAAGAAAAAATGTTGAATTTTAAGAAATTCGGTTTTTTGAATTTTTGATAATTTTCGAAAATTTTACATTTTTTACCAAACAGTCGAGACTATTAAATAAGTAAAGTATTTTCCAAAAGCACAAAAATAATAAAGCTAAATCCCATAAAAGAGAAGAAAAAATGTTGAATTTTAAGAAATTCGGATTTTTTAATTTTTGAAAATTTTCGAAAATTTTAGATTTTTTACCAAAGAGTCGAGACTATTAAATAAGTAAAGTATTTTCCAAAAGCTCAAAAATAATGAAGCTAAATCCCATAAAAGAGAAGAAAAAATGTTGAATTTTAAGAAATTCGGTTTTTTGAATTTTTGATAATTTTCTAAAATTTTACATTTTTTACCAAACAGTCGAGACTATTAAATAAGTAAAGTATTTTCCAAAAGCACAAAAATAATGAAGCTAAATCCCATAAAAGAGAAGAAAAAATGTTGAATTTTAAGAAATTCGGTTTTTTGAATTTTTGATAATTTTCGAAAATTTTACATTTTTTACCAAACAGTCGAGACTATTAAATAAGTAAAGTATTTTCCAAAAGCACAAAAATAATAAAGCTAAATCCCATAAAAGAGAAGAAAAAATGTTGAATTTTAAGAAATTCGGATTTTTTAATTTTTGAAAATTTTCGAAAATTTTAGATTTTTTACCAAAGAGTCGAGACTATTAAATAAGTAAAGTATTTTCCAAAAGCTCAAAAATAATGAAGCTAAATCCCATAAAAGAGAAGAAAAAATGTTGAATTTTAAGAAATTCGGATTTTTTAATTTTTGAAATTTTCGAAAATTTTACATTTTTTACCAAACATTCGAGACTATTAAATAAGTAAAGTATTTTCCAAAAGCACAAAAATAATGAAGCTAAATCCCATAAAAGAGAGGAAAAAATGTTGAATTTTAAGAAATTCGGTTTTTTGAATTTTTGAAAATTTTCGAAAATTTTAGATTTTTTACCAAAGATTCGAGACTATTAAATAAGTAAAGTATTTTCCAAAAGCACAAAAATAATGAAGCTAAATCCCATAAAAGAGAAGAAAAAATGTTGAATTTTAAGAAATTCGGATTTTTTAATTTTTGATAATTTTCGAAAATTTTAGATTTTTTACCAAAGAGTCGAGACTATTAAATAAGTAAAGTATTTTCCAAAAGCACAAAAATAATAAAGCTAAATCCCATAAAAGAGAAGAAAAAATGTTGAATTTTAAGAAATTCGGATTTTTTAATTTTTGAAAATTTTCGAAAATTTTAGATTTTTTACCAAAGAGTCGAGACTATTAAATAAGTAAAGTATTTTCCAAAAGCTCAAAAATAATGAAGCTAAATCCCATAAAAGAGAAGAAAAAATGTTGAATTTTAAGAAATTCGGTTTTTTGAATTTTTGATAATTTTCTAAAATTTTACATTTTTTACCAAACAGTCGAGACTATTAAATAAGTAAAGTATTTTCCAAAAGCACAAAAATAATGAAGCTAAATCCCATAAAAGAGAAGAAAAAATGTTGAATTTTAAGAAATTCGGTTTTTTGAATTTTTGATAATTTTCGAAAATTTTACATTTTTTACCAAACAGTCGAGACTATTAAATAAGTAAAGTATTTTCCAAAAGCACAAAAATAATAAAGCTAAATCCCATAAAAGAGAAGAAAAAATGTTGAATTTTAAGAAATTCGGATTTTTTAATTTTTGAAAATTTTCGAAAATTTTAGATTTTTTACCAAAGAGTCGAGACTATTAAATAAGTAAAGTATTTTCCAAAAGCTCAAAAATAATGAAGCTAAATCCCATAAAAGAGAAGAAAAAATGTTGAATTTTAAGAAATTCGGATTTTTTAATTTTTGAAATTTTCGAAAATTTTACATTTTTTACCAAACATTCGAGACTATTAAATAAGTAAAGTATTTTCCAAAAGCACAAAAATAATGAAGCTAAATCCCATAAAAGAGAGGAAAAAATGTTGAATTTTTGGAAATTCGGTTTTTTGAATTTTTGATAATTTTAAATAATTTTGAATTTTTCACCAAGGGTGCAGACTATTAAATAAGTAAAGTGTTTTTGAAGAGCACAAAAATAATAAAGCTAAATGCCATAAAAAAGAAGTAAAAACGTTGAATTTTAGGAAATTCGGTTTTTTGAATTTTTGATAATTTTAAATAATTTTTTAATTTTGTATTAAAAATTGGAGACTATTAAATAAATAAAGTGTTTTTGAAAAGCACAAAAATAATGAAGCTAAATTCCATAAAAAAGAAGTAAAAACGTTGAATTTTAGGAAATTCGGTTTTTTGAATTTTTGATAATTTTAAATAATTTTTTAATTTTGTATTAAAAATTAGAGACTATTAAATAAATAAAGTGTTTTTGTAAAGCACAAAAATAATGATGCTAAATGCTATAAAAAAGAAGTAAAAACGTTGAATTTTAGGAAATTCGGTTTTTGAATTTTTGATAATTTTAAATAATTTTTTAATTTTGTATTAAAAATTGGAGACTATTAAATAAATAAAGTGTTTTTGAAAAGCACAAAAATAATGAAGCTAAATTCCATAAAAAAGAAGTAAAAACGTTGAATTTTAGGAAATTCGGTTTTTTGAATTTTTGATAATTTTAAATAATTTTTTAATTTTGTATTAAAAATTAGAGACTATTAAATAAATAAAGTGTTTTTGTAAAGCACAAAAATAATGAAGCTAAATGCTATAAAAAAGAAGTAAAAACGTTGAATTTTAGGAAATTCGGTTTTTGAATTTTTGATAATTTTAAATAATTTTTTAATTTTGTATTAAAAATTGGAGACTATTAAATAAATAAAGTGTTTTCGAAGAGCACAAAAATAATAAAGCTAAATGCCATAAAAAAGAAGTAAAAATGTTTTGAATTTTAAATAATTCGGTTTATTGGAGTCAATTAAATTGTATTTGCTTTAAATACTAAAATTATTGGTTCAAGTACTATTTAATTGATTCCAATGAATATTATTTAATTTCAGTTAATATTTATTTGATAATAGTTAATTAATCGGTTATGTCAATAAAATAAATTTCTTTTTCAGTGTACACTACCGGTCAAAATAAAGAGACAACCCATTTTCAGGCGAATGAAAAACGTTTAAAAACATAAAATTTATTAAAACTAAAATTGTTTTCTGTTCATTTTTTGAAAGATGTTAAAATTTTGAAAAGAACAAGATATTTTAGAAGTCGTTTGGCCAATAATTTATTTAGATATTTTTAAAAAATCGTCATTTTCAATGTTTTACAAAAATTTGAATAACTTCTAAAATAATGAACGCTTTTTAATGATCTTAGGCTTATTTTAAATGTCATTTGCTACACTACAATAATTACTTATATGCATTAATGTATAATTTTTTTCTTAGAAAATGTAGGCCATTAAACTTGGACCAGAAAAATTCAAAAAATTTGAAACAATCTTATTAACAGAAAAATAATTTTTAAAATTTAAACGTATTTTTTTTATTAAATTTTTTTGAAAACTCTACACCATATGATGTTTTATATATTTTCTAGAATAGTTTTTAGTACAGAAAAATTGTACCAAATTTTTTGAATTTTTTTGGTCAAAGTTTGAAGGTCTGCATTTTCTAAGAAAAAAATTATACGTTAATGCCTATAAATAATTCTTATAGTGTAGCAAATGACCTTTAAAATAAGCCTAGGATCATCAAAAAGCTTCCATTATTTTAGAAGTTATTCAAATTTTTGTGAAACATTGAAAATGAGGATTTTTTTAAAATATGTAAATATAATATTGGCCAAATGACTTCTAAAAGATCTTGTTCTTTTCAAAATTTTATCATCTTTCATAAAATAAAAAGAAAATAATTTTAGTTTTAATACATTTTGTGTTTTAAAACGTTTTTCAATCGCCTGAAAATGGGTGGTCTCTCAATTTTGACCGGTAGTGTATTAATAATAATTTGTAAACTACTGGGATACTTAAATTGAAGTGTTAATCATTTCTTCTAGTGATACTGATATTTAAAAGAAATTGACTATAGATAAATGTGTATTTTTCCTTTTATGAAGAAATAACCCTCTTACTGCGCCTTTAGCTCTGTTTACCGACTTTAATTACGTCTTATCTTTGCGCTGGTTTGCATTAACTTCACCGCATGACTTATCCCTTTCCCTCAATTTCTCTAGGGATCTTTGGCGCCGTTCAAATCATCCCGGGTTTTCTTGGACTTAACCGTTAATTAAATTCAGAATCCTCGTACTTTCTTAATTTATTTTTTATTTTTAATAACTTTGCTTATATATTCTTATTTGATTTTTAAAGGTAATAGCAATTCATGATTGAAAATTATTCATTTAACCTGTTGGTATAATCAACATCAATCATAAAATTTTTTTAAAAGAACGTTTCGAAAGTTTGTCACTTTTTTGTAAATTAATAAATCTTTATTTCTGTTTTTACTTGTTCCACAGTTTTTCTGAGGATATCAAATTCATAATTATAAAAAAAGTATCAAAATTGATGTTATTCAACATTTTGGTACGTTTTTGTCTCAATTTGATATCCTGAGAAAAACTGCGTGATACAAGAAAAAATATAGGTAATAGGAAAACAATTAAAACATTAACACAAAAAATTCAACAATAGGAAAATGTCTTTCATTCACGAATATAAAAAAAGAATACTGAAGCAGAAGCTAAAGGATCTTGAAGAATTTTAATTTTTATGCTTTTTGATAAACTTTCTTTCCTTAAATCGTTGTGATAAAAAAGCAATTATCGAAGGACTTTTCATTCTGTTTGCTTATAATGAATGCGTGACAAGATTCATCGGGGGGCACACGAATTGGTTCCTGGGGTTGAAAGGGAGCGGGGGCGAAGGAGTGTGTTTTCAGCCTGGTCGCGAAAGCTCCTTCCTCCTATTCCAACTTCTGTGGATAGTTAAGCTTAAAGGGTTTGGGCTCTTCGGAGAAACTAGCCTTGGGGTTGACTGGGGCCACGGATATGATCAGGACCAAGGAAACTCATGGGGTTCCTATGGTAGTGCTTAATATATATGTATATACATATATATGGGGAATAGAGTATGAGATTGGCACGGGGGGGAAGAAGAAGATCCTCGATTTCCGAGAACCAAGCAAGTTAGACCACAAATTCCTTAGACGTGTTCAGCGTTTCTTGTTACCAATGTATTTCTCAAGTTTAATCAATATATTTTGAAGGGGAAAAAAAATTACAGTTCTGTATCTAGATTTATAGTTATGTTCATATACGTCATCATCACAATATATGAATTCACATAAAACATGAAGATATCGATAACTCCGAGTCTTTGACTCAGAGTGATTAATTTATATTTTTTTAAGTAAAATTTTCTCTTATTTGACTGGGGCTGGTTATATTTTTGTCAGTAATTGGTTCGTAATTTTTCATTTTTGGTCCGTAAAGTTTGTATTTTTAAATAATTCCACTGGTTCGAGCCCTGTGAAATTGAGTAGTTTAGATGAAAGTATTTGTTAGCTTTTGTGTTAGATTCCTGTTTCAGTCTGATTATAATAAAAAAAAACTGGTCTGGCTCCAAAATAGGGACGTGTGCTTCATTCACAGATCAGGATCAGGTTGTTATAATTCTTTAGGGGTATTTAATTCCGTTAGAATAAGTAATCATTTACTTGAATCAAATAAATTTGTTTTTCAGTCAATAATTATTTATATTTTATGTCAAGAAAATTATAGAAGTATTAGTCTTGTGAGTAAAAAATGTCATAATTTAATTTTTTTTTAATTTTAATTTATTTTAAAAGAAAACAGAAGGGAAATTACTAATGAATTATTAAGAAACAGTTCTTCTTGAGCTTTAAATTATCAAAAAAACAGTTAAATTATTGCGAATATCAGCTTTAAATTATTAAAGAAACACTTTTTCTTGAGCTTCAAATTATTATTGAAAAACAAAAAGTTTTTTTTGAGCTGGAAATTGTATAAACTGAAACGTTTGGCCCTCGAATAAGTGATTGAGTTTCGAGTGTTAGATGAAATTATGGCTATAAAGGAGGTCCTGTAATCGAAATTAATAAGCAACCGTCACTCCCCTGCATCTAGACGATATCTTGATTTCGATGAGAAGAGAGAGAGAGAGAGAGAGAGTGAGAGACTCCATCGCGAGATTAGTCGCCGGCAATAAATAGATGATTGAGAAGCGGCCCTTTCACTACGACAGGAGATAGGGATATGAAATTAATACAACTCTATCGTCCAGCCTGTTTCCAAGGCTTTTTGGCCGCAAACTCCAGATTCCAAGGCATTCCTGGGATCCTTAGGTCGCTCGACCGGAAGGACCCTTCGATGCGAATATCAAGGAAATTAGATATAGGAGACAGCGGGCGCCAATGTGTTGATTATATTGGTTATATATTGAGACAAAATTCGTGGCAATTGATTTAAGAAGAAGTTAATCAATCTTATTTAAATAAATCTCATCGCAGACGTTTGACTTTTCTTGACTTTACCTCACATTACGAAAATCGATTTTCGATTATTTTTCCCGCACAAATCGTGCAAAATCGTGCATTTATTTATTTTTCAGTTAAATTTGATTTTGAAATTAAATTCTCTAGATTCAAGGTTTGATTATAAATAATTATAGAATTACAAAAATTGACGAATATTTTGAGATCCAATATGGAGACCCTACTCTCCACCTGCGAACGCCAAGGTCACCGCTAGATGGCAGTTCAGTTTCTAAAAACGAATTTCTCGCCACCTAGTGACGACCTTGGCATTCTCAAGTGGAGAAATAAAACAAGAATTTTATACTCTTTTTATAATTGAAAAAATATTTTTACTAGAATAATTTAAATTCCATTTTTATACTTTTGTAAAAATCAACTTTTATTATTAACTAAGACAATTATTAAAATTATAAAATCACATTAATAATTTATTTAAAACTTTTTGTTTCAGAAAGATTATGGTTTACGAATCAACGAAAAGGAGAAAGAAAAGTCCCACAAACAGTTAATTTTGATATTTCCGATTTTTATTTGAATTGTATCTTATAAATCGTTCCTCGGCATTGTGACGGAGAAGTCAACAACTGCAATTGGTAAGTCAATTAAATATTTATTATTATATTTATTCCAGCTTTTATTATTCTATATTTAATTATTTATTTTATTACTTATTTAATTATAATTAAATAAGTAATAAAATAAATAATTAATATATTATATTAGTTTTTAAATATATTTTTTAAATTTATATTTTTATCGACAATTAGAATTTGTTTAAAGTAAAAAAATAATTCGTTTAATTGAAGAGATTTTCTTTGAATCACCGAAAGTAAAACTTTCCTCAGGGTGTAAAATTTGCATTTAACAAAATCACTTGAGATTTTTGTTTGATTAACCAAACTTTATACACTTATCTGCAGGGAAAGTTTTTCAAACGTAAAACTATTGACTTTGAATAAAATTAAATTACGCCCCTTTTCGCTAAGGTATTCACTATTATTGTTATAAATTATTTTTTGTTTAAATTTTCGACTTCTTTTTTCTACGATACTTTTCAGATACACACAAGTTTTTATTTGAATTTTCCATTTTTTTGATAAATCGTTCAAATTTTTATTGTTCCGAGTTTTTTACAGTCAATTCTTTTGCCTTCAGTACGATTTCATTTTAACGAAATTGAATTGAATTCTCGTTTTAATGTAAATCGATCACTAGAAAAGTTTTTTATGCGTTTAAAAGCCTTCTTCAAATTCTAACTTGCGTATTATCGAGGTTTCCTTCTCCAAGTGAAATACGGATCGAATTTCCATTTACCTGCAAGTAATCGCTTCTCCCAACTTTATTTCACTCGAGATTAAGGTATTTTTTAATAGTTTAGTATTTATTATTATTTCAAGAAAGTAATCCCTGTATTTGACTGCTGTATTTTTAATTTCGTTTTGGAAAAAAGTTTGAAATAACTATTTTCGATAATTGGTTTAAGAAAAATATAATTATGAATTAAATAATTATTTTTTATTATTTTATTGGGACTTTAATCACAGAAATTAATAATTTGAATAATTTCTTATTAAATTTTATCTTATTTTATAAATAGTTGAAAATAATTATAAATTTACTCATTATTTCGAACAATTTTATTAATACAAATTTAATTTTGAATAATTAATTCAGATACCAATAATTTTATTCTATTTTATAAATAGTTAAAAATAATTATCAATTGACTCATTTTATTAAAATAATTTTATTGTATTTTTATGAATTTGATTAATAAAACTTTTAGTATATTTCGAAAAAATTAATTATTTAATACAATGTTTATAAAATTCTTATGATGAATTCAATTATTTCCAAAAATAACAAAATTTTTCACAAAAATTCAATATTCTTTTGAAACATTTTAATAAAATTTTTCGCAATAATTCAATTATTTTCATAAATATTAAAATTCTTCTCAAGAATTCAATTATTTTTGAAAATTTTAATTTTAATGAAAGTAATTTTAATAAAATTCTTTGCAACTGTTCAATTATTTTCATAAATAATAAAATTTATTACAGGATTTCAATTATTTTTAATATAATTTTACAGGAATTGCTAAAAAAATATTATTCTTAAAATTTTAATTTCAATTCCTTAAAAAATCAAATATTTAAAAAATGTTTTTTTTAATTTTTTAGAAAAATTCAATGATTTACAAAAATATTAGAATTATTCTCGAAAATTCAATTATTTTCTTAAAAAACAATATTCATCATAAGAATTCAATTATTTTTAAAAGTAATAAATTTTTCTCTTGGAAATTCAATTATTTTAAAAAATTATATTAAAATCGTTCGTAAGAATTCCATTATTTTCATAAATAATAAAATTGTTCGCAAGAATGTAATTATTTTTTAAAAGTAATACATTTTTTCTTGGGAATTCAATTACTTTAAAAAATTCTAATAAAATCGTTCGCAAGAATTCTATTATTTTCATAAATAATAAAATCGTTCGCAAGAATTCAATTATTTTTTAAAAGTAATATATTTTTTCTTGGGAATTCAATCATTTTAAAAATTCTAATAAAATTCTTCGCTAGAATTCCACTATTTTCATAAATAATAAAATTCATCACAGGATTTCAATTATTTTTAATATAATTTTAGAGAAATTGCTCAAAAAATTTTATTATTCTTAAAATTTTAATTTCAATTCTTAGAAAAAATCAATTATTTAAAAAAAGGTAATTTTTTATTTTTTGGTAGAATTCAATTATTTACAAAAATATTAGAATTTTTCACAGGAATTTTATTATTTTGAAATATTTTAATAAAATTGTTCGAAAGCAAATAAATTATTTTAAATACAATTGTACTTAAATTTTTTTGAAATAATTCAAAATTACTCTTTAAGATTTTTATAAAATTTTGTCCCAAGAATTCAATTATTTTAAATACAATTTTAATTACATTTTTTTTGAAATAATTCAATTATTCTTTTAGATTTTAATAAAATTCTTTCCAAGAATTAAATTATTTACATAAATAATTCTTCGAAAGAATTCAATTATGTCGATAAATAATAGAATTATTTCCGAAAATTCAATTATTCTAATAAAATTCTTTGCAAAATGCAATTATTTTCATAATTAATAATATTCATCACAAGAATTTAATTATTTTTAAACCTAATAAATTTTTTTTCTTGGGAATTCAATTATTTAAGAAAATTTGAAAAAAATCGTTCGCAAGAATTCAATTATTTTTAAAAGTAATACAGTTTTTCTTTGGAATTCAATTATTTAAAAAAATTCGAATAAAATCGTTCCCAAGAATTCAATTATTTTTAAAAGTAATACAGTTTTTCTTGGGAATTCAATTATTTAAAAAAATTCGAATAAAATCGTTCGCAAGAATTCAATTATTTTTAAAAGTAATACAGTTTTTCTTGGGAATTCAATTATTTAAGAAATTTTAATAATATTGTTCGCAAGAATTCAATTATTTTCATAAATATTAAAATGCTTTTTACCAATTTAATTATTTTCAAAAAGATTTAATGAAATAAATTTTTGGTAGTTTTGTGAAGTGTCTAAAACGAGTATTTTTGGTCGTCAAGTTTAATTTTTTGATAGCTACTTTTTTAGTATTTTTTTTTAGCTTGAAAGCTACTTTTTGCTACTTTTTTAAAATTAATTATCGAGTGCGAAGTCTGAAATAAAAAAAAAAATTTTAAACTATTTTCTATAATCTTCAGTACATAAAATTATCGAAAATTGTTATTTCCGATTGGATATTATTAGATTATTATTTAATAATCATTTATTAATTATTCATTAATTATTTATTAATTATTAGATAATTATTTATTGGCTAATTTTCATTCTATAAAATTATCGAAAATAATTATTTCCAATTGGTATTATGTAAGACGAAGGAAATATTTTATGAAAGGTTTAAGGAGACCGTTTGACTGAAAGGAGTAAAAGGGGGAAAGGGGGTGGTGGGTGTAAGAGAGAGGGTGGTGAAATTGCCCTTTTGAAATTGCATTTGGTCGGCCATATTTTTACGGTGGGGAGAATAATTTCGCTTTCATCATCATAGAAGTGAAGCGTTGTGGTGCGAGAGAGGCTGGGGTCCATCGAAGGAAGGGTGGTCCACCCAATCAACCCCCAGTATCGTCGGCCGTCTTACCCTCACTGGAAAGTTATCTTTCTTGTCCCTTCCCTTCGAATACAGTTAGGGTTGTCGAAACTCCAAACTATTGACCCAGGAACGTAAGCGCGCGCCAATCTTTAACCATCAATTTATTGCCTAAAATTTCCATTCCTTCGAGGTCAAACACACACACTAACACAAAAGTGTCTTGACGCTTTTCCAAAGTCATTAATTATTGCAAAAATCAAATTTTAGAAATTTTTTTCATCATAATGATTATCAATTTTTCTGTGGGGGAAAAAATCAAAAAACAAATTGCTCTTAAGAGGGTTGATTTTTGAAATTAATCAATTTATTCAATAATTGACAAATTTTATTTTATTATGAATTCGATAATTATTTTGGGATATTTTTCTCAACTTTGTCATTGTCAATAAAAATAATTATGAATCGAATGATTATTTTATCAATTTTGTCAATAGAAATAATTATTGGGTTTAAAAATAATGATCTTCATAACTTTAATTAAAATAATTCTATTTATAATAATTAAAATAAGTATCGAAAATAATTCAATTTATAATTACTTTTATTAACAAAATTCATAAAAAAATAATAAAATTAATAAAATATTATTAAAAAAATGATTCAATTTATAGAATTATTTTTTTATTGATAAAATTTATAACATTATTGAAAAATTATTATTTAATTCACAAATATTTATCTTCATATTATTGGTAAAATTATTCAAAATAATTAGTTTTGTTTATGTAACTATTCAAAAATAATTATTTAATTTATAATTATTTTTGTTAATAAAATTGCACCAAATAAAAATTCAATTTATAAAAATTTAGTGCAGTTTTTTTTAATTAAAATAAGTATCGAAAATAATTCAATTTATAATTATTTTTATTAACAAAATTCATAAAAAAATAATAAAATTAATAAAATGTTATTATAAAAATAATTCAATTTATAAAATTATTTTTTTATTGATAAAATTGATACAATTATTCAAAACTAATTATTTAATTCATAAAAATTTATATTGATAAATTTGATACAATTATTCAAAATAATTATTCAATTTATAATTATTTTTTTGTTGATAAAATTTATAACATTATTGAAAAATTATTATTTAATTCACAAATATTTATCTTTATAATATTGATAAAATTATTCAAAATAATTATTAAATTTATAATAATTTTCGAATACCTAACATTATCAAGTTTGTTAATAAAAGTAATTGCAAATTGAAAATTTTTTTGGATAATAAAATTGAATTTTTGCAAAGTTTTTTTGAAAATTCTGAAACATTAGATTTTTGAAATTTTTCAATTCTGTTGTTTCAAGATAATTGAATTTTTATAAACAAATAATTGAAAATTTTTGAAATAATTGAAATTTCTTTACATTCTATTAAAAATAATTAACTT